TCTATTGTCAGTATAGTGACGCTTTTAAGCATTCACTACTTGAAATGGCATGACTTCAGATCATCCGAGGTGTGGAAGAAAGAGGTGCCCGAGGCGTGAGAAAAGGGCTACCCAGAGGTAACTCCGAATCACAGATTGAAGCCATTCAAGAATCCGCAAGACGAATTGCCGTAGTCACACGGTCTACTCGTAGGCAAATCCAATAGTAGGCTGGCGATTGACGCCCTGCACTGGAAACCTGTTTTGACGGTGAGGTGATACGCGGTCCTCCGCGCGAGAAGAAATTTTCTTTCCCACGGGGCTCCCGCATTAATCAATTGGAACCCCCTACTTCATTCATGTAAAGGGAAATGGCTAGGCAAGATAGTTGATGCCGGCTGGATCCGGGATTTCGTTGTTGCACTGACTTCTTGATCCTGGTAGGGAGATCGCATGATAAGTGAGGTGATCTGGCGCAGCAGCCCTTACAGGGCCCGGTAGTCACCGATCCCCCTCTGCCCTGCTCCGCTGAGGGCCCTGAGCTTTGATCGTATGATGGATAGGCCTTTGCGAAGAATGTATCAGATCGCGAGAACTAGGCTCGTTCCGAAGCAGAAATTGTCCGAAGGGGAAGTCATACGATGCGGGGGCCCCGGCTCATTCACGTGTAAGCAAAATTTCTCAATGTGCCCGGTGGCCATGAACCAAAGCCGTAGCATTCCGATGATGATATACTTTTTGTAGGAGGTCAGTAATATTGATCATATGAGAGGGTGAATCGATGTCCTTGCCAATCGGATGCTATGTGATGTATTGCTGGAATGGCTAACTAGGGGATACCGGTTATCGAGCCGGGTTCGAAAGGAATGATCGATCGGTCTATGGCTGTCATTTACGGATACCCTGTGACTGCTGCGTATGCCAAAGTCTCGATGCATTAGTGTTACCATGCTTGACAAGGGATATGCGTGACGGATCCATCCTTTGACGAGGAAAGGTCAAACTGCATTCTCCTATGTGCACAATGTCATGTACAAATGAGTAGGATCTGGACAATGGGACGGAGCTATTACGTCAATTGCATAATGATCAACATATATAAATAAATATTTACGATGATGTACAAGCTTATTATCTCAAGGGAACTCCATTACCTTCTTTGTTCAGTAATTATTCTGAACATTTTTGAGGGTTATATCACGTACCTGCAAAGAAAGTCATGATCCATGGCAACCGTGCTTATATTTCCCCTCTTGAGATATATCCGTTGAAATAGATGGTCATGAAGGACATAGTCTACACATTTACTATATCATTATTTACTGAACCATTGCTGTTACAATACGCAGTTCTATTTGTCATCAAATCTTGGCAGAGCTTCATTAGGTTATAACAAAGGCAGGGGACTATGACAAGGAACTGACCAAGTTGCAATAACTCGCCAACTTTCACTCATATAGTCTCGCTTTATCTCCCAGATATCTGCGAGTGTGAAACCACGTAACTAACATGCGAAAAGAGAACATGATATAAAACATGATAAATTATTTGTGAGACGAATCAAGAGAATCCCCAACTCCCTTGAAGCCATCAATGTGGCATCGCGTACACTCTATAACAGATATTCAGAGTCTCTTGGACTCACTGGACAAACCCAAACTCCAAACCCGATTGAGAGCAACCCGACTATAATATACGAAAACACCAAAATGTGCTCAGCTGTTGTTTTAGAAAAGTCCCAATGCCATTGCTAGTCGATAGAGCATGACCAGAAAGGCGAGAAGAATGATAAAGTTGATCGAGTATCGAAGCGCGACATTCTTCATCTGGTTGCGGTTGCGACGCCGAGATCGGGTCACAAAGTCTGAGTTGTCATTGACGTTCGGGAACGGAGATTCCTTGGGAACGGGTTCGTCCAGGAACTCGCAGAGAGGCCCCCATCCATCGGTGACTCTGTACTCCAGCAGGCGATCTTTCGGCACGAGGCTTCTGACCTCTTCATAGTGCCTCCGGAAGACGTCCTTGCCACGGCTCGGAAAGTCGCCCTCGAAAAAAGTGTCGAAGAACTTCTTCAGCATGGGATAGTACATGCTGGCGGCCCAGTCAAAGTTGGACAGCCAGCGCAGCTCTTGGTCCGTCACGCGCCAGTACACCGTCTTCATGGTTGAGGCGTGCCACGAGTCGACGTCTCGGTTGGTCAGGACGACTTTTGCCTCTGGATAGGCCTCGATGAGTTCTTTGGCGAAGGCGATGGCTGGCCAGTCGCACACGGCCTGCGAAGTGCCGAGGAGCTGGTCCCAGTCTTGGCGGGTGAAGGGCTTGCCTTGCTTGTCGTATTTGGCGGAGAGGGCGTCCATCCACATGAGGGCGTCTGGAGGGTTTTCGATGGAGCAGTTCATCATGTGGTATGTGTCTACATAGCCGAGCTGTTTCATAGCGGCTCGCATGGCTTCTTGAAGTTAGAGATATGGACCATATTGTTTTTTTTTGTGGACGAAGATACTAGGATAGAAAACTTGGTTCGAATGGGATATACATACAAGCAGTACCGGTGCGTCCTAGTCCTAGAATAAGGACTTTCATGGGCACCACACGGCCGAGCTTGCGGCGGTTGATATCGGTGTCGCTGGTAAAGATGTCCGTCCGAGGACGAGGGGTGTACTTTGAAGAATACGCCATCTTAAATTTTGTGTATTATGCAGTCTCTGTGAATACAGTGAATTATAAAAGAGTGTTATTAGATGACAAGAAGCAAGATGCTATAAAGAAGGACGCTTGTCAAACGATTAAAGAACGACAAATGAAGGATGAGCGTTTGATGAATGAACGGCGAGTAATTCGTTCCAGAAATTAAGGGATGCAGCAAACTTTATGTTTCAACGTTGAATGAGAGGAGAACACATCCAAACCACCATCAACAAGGGTCTATGTTGAATGGGGAAAGCCATGGGTTATCTTTCAGGCAAATGGATATTGCAGTTTGCAGATCTAAGCATTAGGGGGATCCAGACAAAGCAGTGCCGCCGAATCTTGTATCGTGGCTAGGTATTGAACTCGAATGCCGCCTGCTAACAATGGAACCCAGCATCAACCCATCGGCCGTGGTACGAGCGGCTCTTCTAACCATGTTGTATATTTGCCCGTATAGCACAGTTTGAGAAATTTCAATCTAGAGGAAAGGCTCCTGTTTTCGTCGCTCCTCATGTCCACCTTGCTGGGACTATGTTACAGGGAAGTGATCCATAATAACGATGGACGCCGATTCACAATGTCGTGAGTAGTGCTTGAACTACGCTGCGGAACGAGTTAGGTGTTCTCGGACACGTCATCTCTCTCTATAAGCCAATTGGCTCTATATCTATTGCCCAGAAAGGGCACTGCTATTGATACCACTATGGCCAGTTACATCCAGAAGTTTGAATGCTCTTGGAGATATAGACTTGGACAACCCCTTCAGAAGACCAAGGCACAACGTCATCCGGCCAAAATAGATACCGGCACTCTCTTGGGCTGTGGCTGGTGATGATCGCCAATGCCAAGAATGATCATCAGGGACGGAATAAAAAGAATCAACAACACCATAGGATTCCAGCCAACCATCTGCTCTATTTCCCCGTTTTGCTGTATCAAGATGATCCACCATCAAGAAACACCGCCGGCTCGTCGGCCCCCGAGTTCCGCACTGTATAGTCGCTACAAAGAGATCGGCATTTCCACAACGACAGCTTACGCGGCAGAATGGATACCATTTCGTTTTTTCCTTGTTTCAAAGAATAGGAGAGATGATTTGATCGACTTGGAAGTGCTGCGCCTGTAGCTGTTTTGTATTTGTTGCTCATCCTACGTGTCAGTGGGCTGATATAGGTTGTAAACCATTGGGGCGCCTGCTTGCGTCACCGTGTACGGTATAAAGGAGGAGTATGAATATGATGTAACTGGAAGCTTTAAAGATATGAAAAATAAAAGGTCCGATTATGTTGAATAAAATGCGTCGTAATAACTTATTGGCCTTGGTTGAGCATACTCGAGAGTTCTCTCTTGCCTTCGCGATACGGACAATGATAAGCCGCCATTCCTCCTATGCAGGAAAAGGTAAAGAACGATTGGCTGTTCAGCTTCTTCCGTTGCTAATGACGATTTTCATGTCTCCTGACTACATGGATAAAGGCGCCCAATTCTTATCCACACGTGGTGCCCCTGATCATCATTTCCCCAAACTGTGAAGCGCTGGAATATGGAAACGCCCCATTTCGACCTCTCACACACACCCCATTGGGCTTCGGATCGTCGCCTTTGTAACTCGTGAGAAAAACAGAAGAGTTTATTGTCCAAATATCACTTTCTAGACAATACTGGACACACCTGGGCATCGCCGATAGTCCGAAGACAAAATGATCAGCGCAAGGAAGTACTGCACATACTCCCTCTCTGCCGAACGGCCTCACACGCCATCCCCTTGATGCTCTGTTAATATCCGTAAAATGCTGAACCGGTGGAGCTTCAATTCTCTTGGAGCTTGAATGCCAAGACTTTTAAACCCATCCCGGCCGCCACTTTCTCTTTGACTTGCAAGACGGAATTGTCTCCATCATCAAACCATGTGTCCATGATATCCATGCGTTTGCGGATGATCTTCCAAGTGGTTCCCGTATATAGCAAGTTGGGCGTCGTATGCTTCGACTTTGGCGAATAAAATTCCTCCAGACCTACTTTTCCCTATTAGAAGATGAGAAAAAGGGAAAAAAAAAGTAAACGAAGTTGAGCGGAAGTCGGAATGTTTCGGCCCCGATGCAGTGTCGTCACATCTTTCCATCCATCATGCAGTCACTCAAGCTTCCCTTCCCAGTATCACCATCACTTCTTGTCCATCAATTTCTTTCGACATTGTCATAATTATCAGTTTCTCTTGGCTGCAAGAATTTCTTTATTCTCTGTGTTGTTTGGTACCGAATTTTCTTCAACGCCGTTCATTTTGTGTCTTCTTTTCCTTTGTCTCTTGAATTGGCGAGACTCACCTTGTCATGGCGTCTTCGCATGCCAGGTCCTCCAGCAACGACTTTACCTCGACCGTGCTTTTAGATCCCATCCGACCACGAAAGACCCAGGATCAACTAGATGGAACATGGCTTCCAGATGAACGGTCGATTCCAACTCTCGACGAGGTAGACGATGCCAATAGCCACTCCAGCTATGACTTTGATTCGCAGCGGCCGCTCACTCCAGCGACGCCCATGGAAAAGACGCAAGCCAAATTTTCATCAGGCCCAGTGACATGGATGTCTCTTCCTCGAAAAGACCAGCTCCTCATCCTCTTCCTCTCGCGATTTGTCGATTTCCTCCAAGTCGCATCCCTCCAAGCATATGCCTTTTATCAGCTCAAAGCCTTCGACGACTCTCTTTCCGATGCCCAGATTTCTCAGCAGGCTGGAGTCCTGCAGGGATGCTTCACGGGTGCCCAGGTGATGACGGCCATTCCATGGGGCAAGGCTGCTGATGCAAGCTGGTGTGGTCGTAAGTGGGTGCTCGTAGTTGGACTCGCTGGGACGGCGATATCGTGTCTGGGATATGGCTTTGCGACAACTTTCTTTTGGGCGGCATTTTGGAGGGTTTTTGGTGGTGCAATCAACGGAACCGTGGGTATTATGTGAGTCGTCTCTTGAAGCAGGAAGAGGTGAGTAGCTGTGTAAGAAGCAGAAGGCTGACGAAGAAGCTGGAAACGTTAGTCGCACCATGATTGCCGAAATCACAAAGGAGAAAAAGTACCAATCTCGAGCATTTCTGATTCTTCCCATGAGTTTCAACGTTGCGGGAATCTTAGGTCCAAGTGAGCAAGACTGAACGGGATGCCCTGAGCTGGCTTACTGACATGATGGATTTTCACAGTCATGGGAGGCATGTTGGCCGACTCGAGCAAGACGCTTCCTGGTTTGTTTGGAGAAAAGGCAGTCTTTGGATTTCAGTGGATACGAGACTATCCGTACGCATTACCGAGCCTCATGAATGCTGTCAGCTTGTCCATTGTCACCGTGATAGTGTTTCTGTTCCTGGAAGAGGTGAGGGCTGCCCATGTGCTTGACAAAGGTGATTTGGCTGACATGCATTCAAATAGACATCAAGATCACGACAGCACAAGTTTGACCTCGGCCTCCATCTTGGGTCTCGGCTTAAAGCCGTCGTTGTCGGTAGCGAGCAGGCCGACGACTACGCTCGCGTTCCTACATGGGAGGATCGTGCCATGGGGAATTTCCAAGACAAGCATATTCCAGCAGAGTTGAAGCCTGCGCCGTCGCTGAACCGGCTTCCCTTCCGCCGACTCTGGACGCGAAACGTGTTATTTACGCTGCTGACCGGCGCCTTTTATGATTTCCACCTTGGTGCGTTTGGCAATATGTGGTCGCTATTCTTGTCGACACCTCGATATCTTAACCCGACGAGGAGAAGCTCAGAGGTGCATGTATCTGAACCTTTGCGCCGACATCTTCCTCTCCTGTTCACCGGCGGACTGGGTATGCCTGCGTCGACGGTTGGTGTTGCAACGTCTTTTCTAGGATCACTGGGGATGCTGCTACAGGTGACTTTATATCCTCCCGTCCAAGCCCGCCTCGGCACGATGAGGTCCTTTCAGTGGTTTCTGTTTCTCTTCCCAGTTGCATATTTTGTCGCCCCCTACCTTTCAACACTGCCGTCTTGGTCGCCACCTCCCGAGCCGGCGTCGGGAGGCTTCATCTGGGCGGGAATCATGGTTGTGCTGTTTCTCCAGGTAATGGCTCGCACATTCACACTCCCGGCGAGCATCATCTTGCTCAACAACTGCAGCCCGCACCCAAGCGTGCTAGGCACCATTCACGGGTTGGGACAGAGTGTATCTGCGCTGTTCCGGACCGTCGGGCCCGTGATTGGAGGCTGGTGGTACGGCTACGGCCTGGATATCGGCATGGTGGCCTGGGGGTGGTGGGGAGTTGCGGCCATGTCGGCGTTGGCGTGCGGGACGGCGATGGGAATGCATGACGGTAGCGGGCATGAGGTTTTCTTGGAGGGAGAGTTGGATGGGATGGAGTAATTCATGTTTGGTGTTTGCTTTGGGGTTGGGGTTGAGGGCTGCTGATGTTATAGATACCGTTTGCATGGCCGGTTTATTTCTCGACTGGCGACTTTACCAAGAGTAATTGAGAAGAGCAATTAATACATGGAGATGATTCCCATCTCCCACCGATTGAATGAGATTCATTGATTGAATCTGCAAACCCCTGGCTGCCTGGTGCTGAGGTGGGCCTTTCGGAGAGAAACCCTGTCATTGAACACGGATCCAGGCACCAGCAAACGGCAAATGCCACGACAAGGTCACATCACGAGATGCCTGAATCTCACCTGAACTCTTGGCAGGTCTGCCTAGTATTTAACCTTACCGGCAGTTGGGGAGACTATCTGTGTCTTGTGCGAATCAAAATGCATCGACTGGCGTCTTAGTGTCGCGGCTGAAGGAGGCTGTGCCACGATGGTCGGGCTGGGCAGCTCTGTCTTGTGTTTACTTATTAAAGCAGTCCCAATTCTCGTCAAACATGGTCGTTTTCTAATCACATCTCTTCTACTTATTTACAACTCTTACAATGACGACGGCGTTGCCACTATCGCAACATGCTCTCGAAGCACTGGCCAAAGAGACGATGCATGATCGCATCGTTGGCTGTCTTTTCGGATCAGCCCTGGGTGATGCCATGGGCTTATACACAGAGTTCCTCTCCGGAGAAACAGCTCGCCTCTCCTATCTATCCCAGAAGTTCACTCTTTCTCCTCGATCCGAGGCCACTCCCTTTCGTCGAGACGCGCATCGCGACCCCAACGTGCCCGGAGAATGGACCGACGACACCGACCACGCCATGTGTATCCTGCTGTCGTATCTCCATTCCGACGGCAAAGAAATGGACACTAGGGACTTTGCCTCTCGCCTACACATTTGGGTTAGGATGGGGCTGCGCGCGCTGGATACGTTGCCACTGGGCTTGGGCCGAACTGTTGGTTCCATTGTGAGGAGCAAGACGTTTCTGGAATATCCGGAAGAGACGGCGAGGATACACTGGCGGAATGCTAATTGCGAGCTCGCGCCTAATGGGAGCATCATGAGAACACATCCGTTGGGCCTCATGTGCATTCACAAATCACTTGACGAAACGTTTCAGATTGCTGCCGACTACTCTGTCATTACACACGCCGACCCACGGTGCATCATCTCATGCGCCATCGGAACGGCACTCATAAGGGGACTGATACGACAGGAGATATACAGCGAAGAACACATTGACGAGATTGTCGGCAAGGCTATCGAGTGGTTTCCCAAATACCGGCTGCGCCAGATAGAAAAGGACTCCAGCTGCAAAGCCGATCCGGAGCTAGATCTGGAAGAGCTCAACAAGCATGTCAAAGTCGGCAATCTCTCCGAGCTTGAGCTCGACGACATGTACAAAATCGGATACACATACAAGACTTTTGGTTCCGGCATCCACCTCCTCCGTCTCGCCATGAGAGCCCTCGCCGCTCCCGAGAGCCGTCTGTCGGCACAGAAATCCATCTTCGAGGCGCTCATCACCAATCTCATCATGCAAGGCGGCGACGCCGACACGAACGCTTGCTTTGCGGGCGCTCTGCTTGGCGCGTATCTGGGCTACAAAGTCCTGCCGCTGCACTGGAGAGATGGACTGGTGCATGGCGAGTGGCTGATGAAGAAAGCAGAAGGGCTGAGTGTCTTGCTTGGAGTTGGCCAGGGCAGTTATAGCGGCGTGCGGGACAAGGACACGGCGCCGGATGGAGGCAGAGGATGGCTGACGGAGAGCCAGATGGACGAGAAGGTGATGCTGCTGCAGGCTGACATGGTGAAGAGAGCGCAGGAACGGGATCAACGAGAGAAGGTTGACAAGGGACAGAGGGCAAAGAGAACATCATGGCTGGGAGGCTTTGGTGGACGGCGGGAATGAGAGCTGTGTGTGTGTGTGTGTGTGTGTGTCTAATGGGGGTTTCATTTTTCATACATTGAGTAATGTAGTCTGACGAGTTGTGTATGCTAAATAGCGTCGGAGCAAACTAATAAAACATGCGAGTTTCCTGTCCTGATATGCCAAGTCCTTGGGGACTGATGCCTGAGTTCCTGTTGAGCAAGATGAAACAAAATCCACCAACATCCAACCTGTAAACCAACCAACAAAGTTGTTGATAATTAGAGCAATGCCCACCCTGAGGAAAGTCGTCGGTGCTAAACAGAAAGGGAAAGGAGAAAAAGAAAAAGAAAAAGAACAACAGAGAAAACATTCCATGACCATACGTTCCATACCATATTTCCTTCAAAGACATCCATGCATAGCCCAAGCGGGCCAAACTTGACACATTGGTCACTCAAAGACCCCTGCCTTGGATTCTCTCTGCAGCAATCCCGTACGCCGACATGGTATCGCCAACCTCGCAAGGGTCGTCTCCAAACTCAACCTTTTCAAGGCCAGCCGGGCGGTCCTTCTCGAGGGACATCTTGCCCATCTGCGACTGGCAGCGATAGCTCCCAAACTTGAACTCGACAACGGCCCGTCCTCCGGCCTTGATCAGCTCCACCACCTCGTCGACCTGGAAGATGAAGCGGTCCTTGAAGAACTTGCTCAGGCTGGCCTCGTTGACAAAGTCGGCGTGGCCCGTGACGATGAGGCACCGCGACATCTTGCCCGTGATGGCGTGGCTGCCGTACTTGATGCGGTTGTGCGAGACCTTGACGCGGTAGCCCTGGATGTAGAGGCCGCGGGTCCAGGAGACGCTGAGCAGCGACTGGGCGGCCTCGGGCGTGAAGAAGACGACCTTGGCGGCGGCGGTCTGATGGGTCACGTAGTCGGGATAGTTGACGTAGCTGCACCAGACGCGGCCGACGTTGCGGATGGCGGTGAGGAGCTCGTGGGTGGACACGCCGGGGGGCAGGTTGGTGAGCCAGAGGGCGCAGTTTTGCTCGGGAGCGAGATGCTCGGCGCTGGCGTTGGTTTCGGTGTGCATGCCGTGATATCTAGTCGAGAACTTGGACGAACCAAAGGCGTCGGTGCAGGCCTCGTGGGTGAAGGCTCCGGGGGGAGTCTGTTGCATCACGGCCTGCATGGGCAAGAAGCCATGGGGCTGTTCATGGGGGTGGACGGTGATGTTGACAACAGGAGGAACCTGAACGGTAGAAGGAGGAGGGATGGGCTGTCGGATGGGGTCAGTTCGGGGAGGGGAGAGGCGCAGGATGTCGATCCCAAGAGGCTGAGAGTCGTCGATTTCGGACGCAGCAGTCGAGCTGAGCAAGACGCCCTGGAGCTCCGAGAGGTCGAACGAAGAGTTGCTCTTGCTGGAGGGAGGGATGTAGCGGCTCACGGGGAGGCCTTGACCGTCGTGGTGATACTGGCGAAGCACATTCACATTCGGCTGCGTGAATGGCTGGCGAGGAAACGGCCGCTCAGAGGCAACGGTCTCGGAGCTGTAGGGACGAGCAGAAGCAACAGTCTCGGCGCTGTAGGGACGAGAATGACTCACGCTGACGGGGCTGTCGACGATGGCAGGAAGCTGGTGCTGGCTGGCCAAGAAAGGCGGCAGACGCGACAATGGGTTCTCATGGCCATGGCCAGCAACCAAGCTCCTGTGAGCGTCCAACGAGCCCCATCGAAAGTGCGCGGCATTCTGTCTCTCAGCAGCAGCGTGGTCGAGAGGCACTGACGGCGGTGCCCAGATCTGAGCAGCAGCAGCAGCAGCAGCACGATTGCCAATGCCCAGGTTGCTGCCAAAGCGAGAAACATCGACGCCCAGCATGGGCTTGGGGCCGTTGGCAGCCGCGGCAAAGTCGTTGATGGACGACGTGGAGTCGTTGGGCCGGTGGGTGAAGACTCTGAGGGCCGAAGTGGCTCTGGCAGCAGAGGCAGAGGCAGAGGCAGAAGAGCTTTGAGCAGCAGAGATGGCATCGCCAAACTCGCTCTGGATGTCGTCTGGAGTGCCGGGCGTGGTGGCCGTCTTGAGGCTCTCAGGAGAGTGAGAGAGGCTGAACCTGGGAACGTCGTCGACGCCGCAGCCATCGGGGTTGAAGTCGTGATAGGCTGCGGAACCCATGGCTGGAGATGGGATCCAAGACGAGATGAGAGCGGCAGCTGAGAGAAGCAGAGGTGCGTTTTGCTTCAAGAATCGAGGGTGCTGAACTGAGCAAGAGGATGGATGTAGCTATCAAATCTTCATGAGGGTCTATCACCAGGTCTATTTTGAACCCTAGAAGGCTCCAGAAAGCGGCTTCAGTGAATGATGCAGAAATGGCAAACGGAGCTGCGAGAGAGGAGAGGAAGCACAAACGTTTTTAGTGACAAAGAGCCAAAAAAAAAAAAAAAAAACAACAAGCCAAAAGGCAGCGAAGGGGGATCAAGATGAAGCAAATACAAAATATGCACGCTGATGAATGCTGTCAAGCGGAAAGAGAGTTGCAAGGAAGAAAACGCAAACGCCGGGGGGGAGGGATGTGTGGGAATTAAATAGACGAGGCGGGTGTTTGAGAGAGAGAGAGAGAGGAAAAGAGGAAATTCACAAATCATTCACTCTGGGGAAACCGGGGCATTGTCAGGCACTTGTGAATACATGTAGCTGGGCCCAGGTGGGTGAATGGGCGTTTTCGTCCCAAGTTTGAGAGGACCGCACAAATTCCAAACGCCGGCAATAGGGAGTGAATACGTGGGACTGGAGAGAAGGAAGAGGGGAGAAGGAGGGAAAAAAATAGGGGAGACGAGAGAGAGGGGAAAAACAACAGCACAAGATGGATGCAGCATGACAGAATGGTCTATTTCGGTTTGCTTTTTACTTTTCTCTTCTGAAAGTGGCTCTTCATGCATGTTGCCTCCAGCTCTTCTTCCTCTTGCCCTTGTGCCTTTGCAGCTTTTGGTTGGAGTGAGTTTAGTTGTTTCCCGTCTTCGCTTCAGCACCAGGCGCCTGCATATGACCTGGGTAGGTTGCGTTTGAATACGAGTTTGGTTTGCGATGGAGGAAACAAGACAAGCGTCTCAACAGGGCATTGATAGAGCATCGCCAACTTCCATTCGACCAAACTCCCCAAGGTCCCTCGTTCGGCCGTCCGTCAGAGGGGCCGCAGAGCTGGCCCCCCGATGGATCAGCCAGCAGATGCATACATACATGTACATGTCCATAGCTCCATACCCCATGCCTGGTGTAACCATGTGGGCAAGCCGGGAGCCTGTCTCTCGTCGATCCCGGGGATGGGGATGGATCCCAAGGTGAGCACGAAAACTCCCGGAAGACGCACGAAGCATTGCCGCGTCTGCCTGTCTGCCTGTCTGTGCTGTCTCTCTTGACAGTAGATGAACTTTGTAAAGTAGCAGCAGCAGCAGCAGCAGCAGCAAGAGAAGCAAGAGAGTGGGCGTTGGGGGCTGTCCGGAACCCTATCCGGTTGGCGTGGAAGCCTCCCTGCATACATACATGTACATTAACGGGCAGGTCTCACAAGACAAGCTGGGGGTGCTTGAGCTTGTGCTTGTGCTTGTGAGCCAGTCGATGGAGGCTCAATGGGAAGAGAAGGCGGGAGAAGAAAACAGCCACACCGGCAAGGTCCCATAACACGTATGTAAGGGGGAGGCAAGATGGCCCAGCCGGCAGCCTCACGATTGGCAGAGGCTGCGGAGCTGTGTGGAAACAAGACAGACGCAGACGGATGGATGCTAGCCCACGACTCTCTCTCTCTCTCTCTCTCTCTCTCTTCTCTCTCTCTTCTCTTCTCTCTCTCTTCTCTTCTTCCTCAGTCCCAGACATGCTCGCACTCGCACTCGTAGTTGAACGCGGCCATCCGCACATGTACATGTAGCCTTGCTTTGCTATGCACGAGAACGGGTTCCTCATCTCCCTTTGAAGCCGTCCGATTGGAGCAGCCGCTTGCTTGTCAGGGATTCGAGGCCAGCCCGGGGAAGATGCAACTTTGAATCGGCGGCAACAGATCTGTCTTCTTTTTTATTTTTTAATTTTTATTTTTTAATTCAATTTTTTTTGTTGTTACGTGTATCGCATCGCGACCCCGATCTGAGAAGCACAAGTATTAACAATGTGCTGTTAAGCATAATGCATGCATCCGACCGGTCTGGTCTGCGGCAAACTGCTTTCAAGGTTGCTTCTTTTCTTTTCTTTTCTTTTTTCCCTCTTTTTTGACTCCGCAGGATTCATTGCCAAGTCAGAAACGCCAGGGCCATTGGGATGTCTTACCGGCCATCCCTGGCATGATTTGCAGCCCTCTTTGCTTTTTTTCCCCTGCTTTATGATAAGTGACATGGCGTGAGGTCTGGTAGGTATCAATCGGCCGAACAAGGTCTTGTTATTGGACGCGGTTGTTGGTTTCTTTCCCCTCCAAGGCTGCATGTGCGTGCATGGCTCGGAAACGAAGCGAAGCGGGAAGAAGGAAAAAAAAGAACAAGCTGACCGGATGAGGGCCGGATGCATGGGCAACAATTGTACTTGTACCATAGCAAAGGAATGGAAATGAATCAAGTAAACAAATAAATAAAACAAAACATCTAGAGATAGAAGCAGAAGCCAAGAGAGAAAAAAGGATACAGTCATGAATGAAGCATCCCGCGGAAGTGCCTCGCAACATGGAGAGCCTCCCCCCCTGTCGCTGCGGTTAGAGTCCGTCCGGGGATGCACTCAGCCGCGTCCCAACCAGTCCCTTTCCAGCAATTTCCGCATTGCACGTTCCTTGTCGTGTGTCTACCTGCGAGCATTAGTGCTGCAGTGGCTGGTTTCTTTCGTTTCGAACGAAATGTCTCTCGTCTGCTGGCCGTGGTACTCGTATATACGCGCAGTAGACAGACAAGCGCGAACACGTAGAGACGGACTGGATGATGATGGATGGACTCGTCCGAGCATCTCCATGTCGTCCTCGGGGGCTGCTATTATTGGGTGGCGCCATGTTTGCTTGCTGTTCTCCCACGTTGCCCGCTCCGCTCACGATAGAGTTCCTGTGAGACTTGGATTGTTCCTGGGGCGCGGATGCAAGGTGGACGACGTGTCAAGGCATTACAAGTCTCAAGCCACGTCTCCTCCAAGTCCGTGCTGTGCTGTGCTGTGCTCCCCTCTAGAACAAAGCGTCGACTACTCCGTAACAGGCAAGATAACAACCGTGACTTGTATACTCATATGAGTTTGGACGGCATGATGCTAGAAGGGTGATGGTGATTCCATGGCATGGGTCTTTGCCTTTCGCCCTGCTTCTGCTTCTGCTTCTGCTTCTGCTTCTGCTTCTGCTTCATCACCACGTCTGTCTGTCTGTCTGTCTCATGCTCCAGCGCACTAGCACCAAGTGAACTGTGACATCGCGCCTCGAGAAGCAACCGCTGCAATTCCAAATCCTGGCTTGTCAAGCTCTGGGAATCCTTCCGACGGCCCCAGTGCGGAGAATAAATCCGAGCCGCTGCAAGATTGCAAGATACATGTATCCGCTGCTCGATACGAAGCTGGGGGTATCATCATGGCAGCCCCCTCCCCCCTTGCACTCCCGCCTATATATAGGCCTTTTGCCTGGGAGCTGATATATCACAAATGACCCCCCAGACAAAGGGTGTTTTGTTCTCTCTTTTAGTATTCTTAACAACCAAACTACTGCTATTCTTGTTCTTGGCCTGACACTTCGCTACGACCACTGCTACCTAACTCATAAAGCCGGGCTGTCAATCTATAGTACCAGGTACATGCATGTCGTCGGCAACAAGCGGCGACCAGGTAGATGGTAGGGGTATCGGGATGCTACGCTTCTCTTCCAAATTTGGTTGTAGCATACATAAATTTCCTATCAATGCACGAATGGAAATGGAATAGTCTCATCGAGTGCTTAATCCTTGCCGTCCAAAGCCCAACGTCTACTCGCACACTCTGCTGTAGACCTCTCTCAACACGCGCGGCTGAACCGCAGCTGAACTTCCCCCGGCGTCAAGATGAAACACAAAGTCGTCTGCCGCAACCCCCCCGTACATGAGCTGATCCGGCGTCCCCCAGATCCCTGCTGTCGGGTCAAACACCATATGGACCGATGGCCTGTATTGGTATGGAATCGTCTCGAACAGCGCCCGATACGCAACCTCGCTCCCTGTCTGCAGACCTGTAGGAAACAGTCTCACAGCATTGATACGACCGCCGCGTGTAGCGTTCGCGTAAGCTTGTCCGGCGGCAATGATGTCGTGGCCCTGGTGAATCCACTCTTTGAGTAACAGACCAGGTCCATCGTCGACCGTAAGGACGAGGGATGAATTCTTCTCGAAGCCTGACGGTGCGTAGTTTCCGCAATGCTTGTGACATGACTCTGCTTTCGCAGCCTTCTCCAGTGCGGGGACAAGTGTTTGAATCGCCATCTCGGTGGCAACTTGCAATGCTGTAGCACTGTCAGGCCCGGCGGCGAGAATGGCCAAGGTGACTTGATAGTCGGGTATGAGGATAAGCAAGGAGTTGTAGGCGCCGACGCTACCAGATTTAGTATAGAGATCGACAATGCGGCCGGTCGTGATGCCGCTCCGAGTTCGTACGATTTCCCATGGCGCACCGACGGAGACGGACTGGGAAGATGTCGAGGAGGCGGGCTTCATCCAGCGAAGTGTCTCCATGGGATTCAGTTGCTTGTTGGCAAATATGGCGCGCCCGAATTCTACCAAGTCGTTTGTCGAAGAAAGGAGACCGCCTGTGCTATAAGATGTGTTGGAATCAGTAACTGAACTGAACTCCAGCTGTGAACAATATCCTCTTCCGACAACGCTTGTTTGACTCACGCAACCTCGTCGCCATAAATCCTGCCCCATCCCGCGTCTCCATCAGGAATCACTCCAGCCCCCTTGCGAGATGGAGGCAGCGGGCTCGAATGCTTCATGCCTAGAGGCTGAAAAATACCCTTCATGACTACTTCGTCGTACGACCTGCCGGTAATTTCTTCGACTACGTATGCGAGAATCCTGTAAGCTGCGTTGGAATACATGGCTTTGGCGTATGATGGGAAAACAGGATGTCTTTGGATAAGACCTTCAAAATATTCTAGACCCTCGATCTTAGTATGTAGCCACAGTCAGTGCATCCTCTTACCTTTGCGAAGACATGGTAGTTGGCCATCATTTATGCCACAAGTAGGAATGTCTTGGGGAGGAAGATTGGGCAGTCCGGCCTCTGTCGCAGGGAAATCTTGAACCGACAAGTCTCCCGAATTATCTGCCATTCGCCTTGTAAGAGTGCCAACTGTGATGAAAGTGAAAGCGGAGAACGTACAATCTCTTCCCATACCAGAGAGCTGCGATGTAAGAGCCCCAACCGTGACTTGGTCCCATTGAACAGAATCGATAACCGACGACTTGTGTGACGGGCGCTGAACAGCTTGGCGTAGCTCTGGTACAAAATCGGTGACGGGGCGATCCCAGTAGCTGATGCCATTGTTCAGGAGCAGAGCGTAAACGGTGAACACTTTTGACACGCTGCCGATTCGATAGACTGTATCGGCTGTCAACTTTGACGTGCTTCCAGCAGATGCATTGAGGAAGCCAGATGTGTGATGGAAGTCCATGATCGGGGCAGACTCTTGCTGCGAACCGGCAGTCAGGGAAAACGACGTCGTGCTGCTGTCGAAGTTGCCATACTGGCTTTCTCCGGTGCGAATGGCGTGGCTCAGTGACTTTTCAATATTGAAAACAGCCTCTCGAATTACTGCTCGAGTTGAAAGATGAGCTGGTGGTTCGAAAGACGGTCCTAGCAGTGTCTGGTCCGTTTGCGCAAGTGAGCCGGAACCCAGTGCCGCGATTGCGACCAGAAACGATTGGAGGGTCAACATTTGGATAAGCATTGCCTGCTGATAGAAGATGTTGATTTCTAGGATATTTGATGATGGGAAAACTCTCTATTCAGGACTTTTATATAGCCATTGCTCGGGCGTTGGGCTCGTGGCGGCGATTAAGCGGACATTGCTTTCGCCGTGGACTGTCCGCTGGAGATGCTACGCCGTCGACGGACATTTCTTTGGAGATGGAGGATGGACTTTCTGATGGCGATTGAACGGCAAAATGGTCATGTTTAAACATGTGACCTGATGGACTCTGGGTTGTGGCTATTGACTCTCGTAGATGCGATGGAGGTATCTGCCGCTTTAGTGGGAGGCTCTTTGGAGTAACAAAGTGGTTCAGCATAATGCGGCACAAGACCAGAGAAGGAAAAGAAGGCATCTATCCCTCTATCGTATCTAAAGGGGAAAAAAGGACAATATCTGGTAAGTGACGTGGGAGAACAACTGTCTGTGTATACATGTACCATCTAGCCGCATGAATTCATGCACGTCCTCTAGGGTATCTGCAGCCACGCTCTCAACACTCTCCATTGCTGCGAATATACTCATCAAATTGATGAGGATTTGTTTCTTTGGGTCAAGTTCCTTCGAATGCGCAACCAAAGACAGAGGTCTACTCTTCTTGGCTTTTGAGAAATTTGAATGATAAACAGGTCCTTGGTGTGAAGCTGATGACTACTCAAACCTCATCCAATCTTTCCACATGCCGACTCTGGAGACTGAGATGGGCCTGATAAAGCCAAATCGCTATCAGCAAATGCCATACTGGCTTTGAGATGCTGCTACTAATAGGCACAGTCTGACATCAGATGTAAGAGGGCGCGCAACTTTAGAAGGAGCTCGATACGCATGAATATTCGTATTAAAGCGGCACAGTGCCTACTACAGTCCCACTTCAAAAGTCACGACTCGACTCAAAAATACACCTAATTTTAACAAAACTCACACATTTTAACTATAACAAGATCCACAAACTTATATTATAACCTATTTAAAAAATTACGTATTAAACATTTATTTATTTACGTTATATAATTATAACATTTTTAATTAATAATTATTTTTCTAAGTATTTTAAATAAAAATATAAAGTGTAGTATAAATTTTCTTTTCTTATACACTATAATTATAGCGCTTTATAGCGGTCTATCCACTGTTATTATAGTGTATTTACCCCGCCATAAATTTATTTACCCCGCCATAAATTTATTTACCCCGCCATAAATTTAGTTTATTTACTATAAGAAAAATTACATATATAACTTAAACTTTAATATTAAATAACTTTATAAATATTTAATAAAAGAATAGAGAAAATTCTAATATATATATTTTATTATATAATAAATAATAGATTAAAGTTTTAGAACTTTTTACTAAGTAAAAGGTAGTTTATTTTAAGTTAAAATTTTTAAATTTAGTGGATTTAATATGGCATTTTTTGGTCAAGTCGTGACTTTTGACTCCCCACTGTAGATACTGACCTTGGCAGCACCTTTTGCTCGAGTATTATATCTCAGAACAGATTGAATGTTATATACGAAAGTATCCAAGACGGCATCCTACATACCTATGCATCGTGTCTGTACACAAGATTACGAGGCGCCGCCGCAATCCAGGAAGCGCGTGGTGCTACCTTTGATTATCCGGCAACGGTATCCGCGGGCGCGGCTTTTCAAACAGCCCTACCGAGGTGAAGGATCTCTAGGCCCAATCCTCCGAAAAGCTGCGATTCCGTGAACAGTTTGGATCATCTTACCGCCATCATCCTTGGCATATCTGCATCTTACACATCACTCAATGGTTCGCGGTCAGATTGGTTCGTTTCGGGCGGAATCCGCGGGTTCCACTAATGACAACTTGCGCCGAGTGGGTGAATCGCGTGGTTGGCGTCAGCTCTATCCGCTGTTGGCAAAGGCGTAGTTCGATCCCATAGACGTGTGGCTGAAAACAAGTGCTGATGACGAAGCATGGGTCTTTGGGGATAGAAACTCTACTTCGTATTGGCCTGGCCGGAGACAGCGGTCAGATTTCACCCCTTGACTTGCACTTCATCTCGTCTGTAGCTTTAAGGATGTCGCGGAGTCCACGGAGGAACCATCCAGCTCCGTATCCATGTTGGGACTGCTTCATCATCAGAGAAGATGGGATATATAAAAACACTCAAGACGAAGTTGGGAGGCCATGATGGGGGACAAAACGGCATGAAGAAGCCGATTGAGCCAATGTCGAAACGTGTTAGCCAAGGCAAGATGAAGTCCGTCAAGGACCAGAATTTGGTCGAGATCCCAAAGCCCAAAGGTGAGTGCTGTCAATTCATTGCTTGAGGATGGAGTGGGTAGAAAAATACTGACATGGACTTGCTAAATAAGGCCTTCCGGTGATTGGCAATCTACACAATATCGATCTCGATTCGCCGTTGTTCTCATTGATAGAGCTGATTGAGCCATTGGGCCCCATCTGCCAGCTCACATTCGGCAGCGAGCTCAACATCTTCGTGTCGAGCATTGAGCTGTTGAATGAGCTTTGCGACGAGTCAAGGTTCCACAAAATCGTAACAGCAGAGCTGGAGAAGCTACGCTATGTCGTCCACGACGCGCTGTTCACCGCGAGGAACGAGGAGCGCAATTGGGAAATCGCTCACAGGATCCTGATGCCGGTTTTCGGCACGATCAAGATTCGTGAAATGTTTCCAGAAATGAAGGATCTCGCTCAGCAACTGTGCTTGAAATGGTTGGCCCTTCCTGGACTTGATGCTGTATTCGTTTTGGTTGCGCTGACCGGGTGGGAAACAGGGCTCGCTATGGCGAAGAGTACGTGATCGATGTCACAGCCGATTTCACTCGACTCACCCTCGATACGCTTGCGCTGTGCACCATGGGCTTCAGATTCAACAGCTTCCACAACGGATCAGTCCTGCACCCCTTTGTCGACAGCATGGCGAGAACGTTGAAAGAAGCCAGTGTTCAAGCGGCCTTGCCAGGCTTTATCCAATCCTTCCGAAAGAGGTCTTGGCGCCGGTACGAGAAGGATACGGCCTTGATGAGAAAACTGTGTCGAGACATCATTGAGAAACGAAAGGCCCAGACGGACACAGACTCCCACGACCTGTTGGCGGCGCTCCTGGGGGGCCGTGACCCCAAGACTGGCGAGGGCCTCTCTGACGATTCCATCATTGACAACATGCTCACGTTCCTCATCGCTGGCCACGAGACTACTTCGGGACTTTTATCGTTTGCTTTGTACTACCTGCTGGCAAATCCGCAGACGATGGAAAAGGCGCGCCAAGAGGTTGACCAAGTCAGCCAAGGCGCCCCAATCGCGGTCGAGCACCTTTCCAAACTGCCATATCTCAACGCCGTTCTCAAGGAGACGCTCCGTCTTCAACCCACAGCTCCTGGCTTCATCTTGAGCGCCGACAAAGACGAGATCATTGGTGGAAAGTATCTCATCCCAGCCAACGTTCCCATCGGGGTTCTGCTTCACATGGTCCATCAAGACAAGGCCGTTTACGGCGAGGACGCTGCCGACTTCAAGCCGGAGAGAATGCTGGACGAGAATTTCAATAAGCTGCCGCCCAATTCCTGGAAACCGTTCGGCAATGGAATGAGGGGATGCATAGGTAGAGCCTTTGCAACCCAAGAGGCACTTTTGATTGTGGCCATGCTGCTGCAGAACTTTACATTTGAGATGGCGGATCCTGGATATAAGCTCAAGATTAAAGAAACTCTGACAGTCAAGCCAGACGACTTTCGCATGAGGGCTAAGCTCAGGCGTGGCGGCACTGCCACGGAATTTCAGCGTGAATTGCAGTCACTGGGTTCAGTCAACGTCAAGACGAGCTCTACTCCCTCCAGCTCCGTCATCTCAGCACAGGCCGCCGGAGGTGACAAGAAGCCGCTTACGATTCTCTATGGATCCAACAGTGGCACATGTGAGGCTTTGGCATACAGGCTGGCGTCTGATGCCACTCTCCACGGCTTCCATGCTCGGAAGATTGCACCCTTGAACGCAGCCCGTGACAGCCTCCCCAAATCAGAGCCAGTCATCATTCTTGCCGCGTCCTATGATGGTTTGCCGTCGGACAACGCCGAGGAATTCTTTGACTGGCTAAACACAGCTGAAAAGGACTCTTTGAAAGGCGTCTCGTACGCGGTTTTTGGCTGTGGACATCGCGACTGGGTTGCAACATTTCAACGAATTCCCATCCTCATCGACGATCTTCTGCAAAAGGCCGGTGCTGAACGATTTGCAGATCGAGGTCTAGCAGACTCGGCGGTGATGGATCTCTTTGTGGAACTCGAAAAATGGACTGCCGACTCCGTTTGGCCAGCTATTTCTCAGAAAGATGGAAAGGTGGACAGCGATGGAGAAGGCCAGTTGATCAACTCGCTGCTTAAAGTCGAGTTTTCCGAGCCGCGCCAGCTGCAACAATATTCCCAGCTTGTAGAGGCAACGGTCATGGAATCGCGGAGCCTGACGACGCCCTCTGCCATTGGCAAGAAGGTGCACATCGAGATACAGCTCCCCTCAGGGGCGTCATATCATCCTGGCGACCATCTTCTTGTGCTGCCCGTAAATCCAATGAGGGACGTCAAGCGTGTGCTATCGCGTTTTCACTTGACGTGGGACACTATCGTGCGGGCATCTGGAAATGAATCTGTTCGCATACCCGTCGAGACGGCCATGACGGCACACGAGCTGCTGAGTTCTTTCTTTGAGCTGGCTCAGCCGGCGACCCCGAGGGTAAGTTGCTTTTCCTTTTCTCTTTTGTTGATCAATCGAGTCATCCCCTCAAGGCAATTGATGCTAACTATATGTAGGATATTCGAGTCCTCGCGGCCGCGGCTGAGGACGAAGCGACCAAGAAGGCCCTCGACAGCCTTGCAAACACCTCTTACCTTGAGGACATTCAAGAAAAGAAAACCTCCCTGCTCGATCTGCTGGAGAGGTTTCCAGAGATTCCCATCGGCTTTGGTACCTATTTGACCCTTTTGCCATCCCTCCGCCTACGTACATACTCTATTTCGTCCTCGCCATCCTGGAACTCGACTCGTGCCACCTTGACTCTTTCAGTGCTGGATGAGCCAGCGACCACGCCCGGCTCTGAGCGTTTTCTCGGAGTGGCCTCTAATCATCTCGCCGGTGTAACGCCAGGGGATCTGATCCACGTGGCCACACGCCCAGTCAAGGGAATTTTCCAGATGCCCGCCGACTTGTCCAAAGCACCAACCATCATGATTGCAGCAGGGGCCGGCCTTGCACCGTTTAGGGGATTCATCCAAGAGCGAGCGTATCAGCAGCAAAACGGAGTTCAGCTTGCACCAGCCGCTTTGTTTTTCGGATGTAGATCGTCGCATGATGATTTGTATCGCAGCGAGCTTGACGCTTTTGAATCGTCAGGAGTCGTTCGCGTGTTCCGTGCCTACAGCAGAGAAGACGTGGGTTCCAAGTCCAACACGAGGAAAGGATACGTCCAGGATAGTATCCAGGCGGAGAAAGATGCGTTCGTCCAGCTGTGGAATGCTGGAGCAAAGATTTATGTCTGCGGAAGTGTAAGAATGGCCTCGCAAGTCAAGGATTTGGTAGCGAATCTGGTGTACACAACTGGGCCGATGGATGCCCAGAAGGAATTCACGCCGCAGGAATGGTTCAAGCGCTTTGAGAAGACGCGGTATGCGGCTGAGATTTTCACCTAGTCGCTGCCACCGTGGTGAAGCAGCTTTTGTCACATCTTCTTCTTCTTCTTGTAGTTTGGTATTTAGCGAGCTCGCGATCCCATCATTTATTTGTTTATTAGTGCTTCGTAGTTGAGAGAATGAATGATACCAGTTTGGATTGTTGCAAGCAGCTGAGCAAGCTAGGGCAGGGCTTACCTGCAGCCTCGGCAACCCCGCCAGCCTCGCCAAAATGAGCCCTGGCATGGTTGCGTAGATCGAAAATTAACGCCCGGCATGAAATGGCCAGCAAGTGACTGACCCAATGGCGCCCAGAAGAGGGGATTCACACAAACAGCAGAGCTTTGCCAAAGTAACGGCGACTCGAGGCTATTGGAATTAAAGGGCCCCGACGTCATTTGCGCATCACGTGACCCGCTCACCAAATCAGCGCGTCTCCCTTTCCTTTTGGCCCCGTATCATCTAAACACGCGTTCACACTCACATTCGCATTCACACTCAAACACAAACACAGCTCAAGGGCAGCTCCATGTCTCAGGGCCAGGCGCATGCATCTCCGTGCCTTTGTCGTCTGCCGCCAGCGTCTGCTGCAGCTCTCACCATCGCAACCGCTGTCTTTATGACGGCTGCACCTTGTTCCCAATGTCCAGGGGCCATGATTTCCCCCGCTACACTTACATGATGGACTTCAACCCCATGGACGAAGACACGCCTCTCAGGGACTACTGGCAGACCACTGACGACCTGGACAACGAAGATGCCGCCACGATTGCGAGCCTGGCCACCCAGGTGCTGCAGTCCAAGTCGGGCTACGAGTATGGAGATGGCGTGGGCATGGGCGTGGGCGTGGGCTTGGAGGTGAATGAGCCCGGCGTGGTGACCGATTACATGTACAGCGAGAGTCGATCGTCGCCTCAGTCTCAGTACTCAACCACCCTCCCGACGGAGCCGGCAGAATCATTTCGAGGCCTGATGGATGACCATGACCGCGGCGTGCAGATGTTGGAGGAAAGCGCCGCATCGGGGTACGACTTTGAGCCAGAAGCTCGGGAGCACGAAGCAAGTCATGTGCATGCAATCGATGAACCGACTATGCTCTCTCGAGAGCAGTATGCGCCTGAATCTTTCCGCTCCACACTCAACGTGGCTGCAGAAATGGATGTTACTTATCAAAGCTCATATTCTCATGGGATCGAGATGAGTGCCGCCATGACGGCTAGCCGCGTGGTGAACGGAGTTTTGAGTCGCTCATACGCAGGGACGCCAACTGAAGAGGTCGTGAATCTGCAAGCGCTTCAATCACATGCACCTCAGCTCACGCCACCCCAATCAGAGTCCCGTTCTGTTAGTGTAGAGACGCCTGATTACGAAGAGCAAGAGAAAGAGCCAACGATGGAGACGGAAGATCAGCATGTTGATGAGGAGCTTGAAGACACCCCTATGACGAGGGACGACGAGGTGGAGGATTGGGAAGAAGGTGGAGGAGAAAGAGAAGAGAACGAAGGGAGAGAGTTGGAAGAGAACGAAAGAGGAGAGAGGGTAGAAGACAACGACAACAACGGAGAACGGAAAAAAGTTGAAGAAGGAGAAAGAGTACAAGATGAAGAAGGAGAAACGTTGGAAGAAAAAGGAGACAGGAAAGAAGATGAAGGAAAAGAAACCGAAGGAGACGAGGGTGGAGAATCAGCAAACGATGAGATGGACGAGATGGACGAGAAGGAACCCACGCCGGATACCGGAGCGCAGCAGCAGCTCATAATGGAGTCCGATCAACGACCAGCGGTAGACGATGATGAGGAATTGCCGCCACTTCAGCAAACACCGAGAAAACGAGGGCGCCCGCGGAGGAGTGATGCGGCGGAAGCGCCTCCAGCTCTAACATCCGAGCAGCCTACAGCCGTTCAGACAGCTGTACCCGAAAAAGATACCCGTGCCGAAAATGAAGAGGTGGAATCAGCTGTCACTGATGGCGCTGATCTCAACAGAGCTGAGGAAATGCCGATCGGGAGAAGGCGTGGAAGGCCACGCAGAAGCGATATTTCGGAGCCGGCAACGGCAGCAGCACCGACGCCGGCAAAGCGAAGACCTGGACGACCACCGAAAGCGACGGAAGTCGAGCTGACTCTTGAAGCGGCACCTGCCGCAGGAAAACGAGGGCGGTCTCGGAAGAACAGCATGGTCAACGCAGCACAACTGTCCGCAATCGCCCTCGAATTGTCTGCCGCCGAAACACCAACCGCAACAACACCCCGTAAGAGCAACATGGTAGATGCTGCCACGCAAACCTCTCCCGGCCCAACTCAGCCGCCTATCACTAAAACAAGACGAACTGAAGTACCGTCTGGCAGAAGAGGGAGGGCCCGAAAGAGCGATGTGTTGGATTCAGCACAAGCTTCTACCACAGCAGACCAGGAGGTAGCAGCGACTCTTGTATCCTCTACTAATGCGGCTCCAGTACGAACCTCGAGCAAAAGAGGGCGACCCCGAAAGAGCGACATGACAGGCGCAACACAGGCTTCCATCGAAGAACCTGAGCAACCCACAGTTGAGCTAGCAGAAACTGGAGCGTCTTCGTCTTCGAACAAGAGAGGGCGGCCTCGAAAGAGCGATACCGCTGCCAATGAGGTCCAGGAAGCAGTCGCCGCTGTACCACGATCTTCTAGCAGAAGAGGACGGCCCCGAAAGAGTGACATGACAGGCGCAGCACTGGTTTCCACCGAAGAACCTGCGCCACTCGCAGTTGAAGCATCGGTGGTTGCACCACGATCTTCTAGCAGAAGAGGGCAGCGGAAAAGTGATACAATGGACGCAGCGCAGGTTTCCACCGAAGGACCTGAGCAGCCCACAGTTGAGGTAGCAGAAACTGGAGCTCCTTCAGGCAGGAGAGGGCGACCCCGAAAGAGCGATACCGCTGCCAATGAAGGCCAGGAACCAGTCGTCGCTGTACCACGATCTTCTAGCAGAAGAGGACGGACTCGGAAAAGCGATGCGATGGACGCAGCGCAGGTTTCCACCGAAGAAATTGAGCCATTCGCAGTTGAAGCATCGATGATTGCACCACGATTTTCTAGCAGAAGAGGGCGGCGTCGGCAAAGCGATGCGATGAGCGCAGTACAAGCCTCTATTGACGAAACCGAGCCACTCGCAGTTGAAGCATCGGTTACTGCGACACCAGCTCCGAGTAAAAGAGGTCGGCGCCCGAAAAGCGATGCGATGAGCGCAGTGCAAGCCTCTACCGAAGAAACTGAGCCACTCGCAGTTGAAACATTGATAACTGCGACAACGGCCCCCAGCAAAAGAGGACGGCCCCCGAAGAGTGATGCGACCAGCGCAGCACAAGCTTCTACCGAGGAAGTTGAGCCGCTCGCAGTTGAAGCACCAACACCTGCGACAACGGTCCCAAGTAAAAGAGGGCGACCCGCGAAAAGGGATGTGATAAGCTCAGTACAAATCTCCACCGAAGAAGTTGAGCCGCTCGCAGTTGAAGCATCGGCAATCGCGACAGCGGCTCCCAGTAAAAGAGGACGGCCCCCGAAAAGTGCTGCTATCAGCGCAACTCATACCTCGACCGAGGAACTTCAGTTGTCTTCAGTCGAGGCGCCGGTAACCACAACATCAGCTTCAAGCAAAAGAGGGAGACCTAGGAAGAGTGATGTGATGGAAGCTGCACCCGCAGAAGTGCTCATCAACGAAGCTCAGCTGGCTGTAGATGAAGCGCCGATCATCACAACTTCAGCTTTAGAGGGACTACAGCCCCAAGCAAGCGTCAAAACCTCGACGACTACATCCGGCAGGCGTGGAAGACCTCCTAAAGGTATTGTGCCGTTACTGCAAGCAGAAATTGAGATGTTGCAGACCGATGATGAGGCAGAGGCAGTCGAATCACCCGCTTTGCAACCTTTTGGTCGACGAGGTCGACCATCTCGACAAGCTGATGCGTTGGAAGAACGGGATGACTCTCCATCTCCATCACCTAGGAAGAGACGAGGCAGAGGTAGGCCGCCCAAGAGCGAATCCTTGCTCTCTGCAGATTTGCCTCGTGCAACTGTAGAGCCGGGCCTTGGCATGGGTGCCCAGCAGGCTGAGCCTCAGGAGCCATCAACACCTATGGACGATGTCTCGAAAGATTTGGATGTGAGCGAGACAACCTCCACACCGGCACGGGAGGATATGGAAGCAACACCTGTAAGAAAACGGGGGAGGCCGAAGGCAGCGGCCGTAGACAAGCCTCTGTCTGTGAAGGATATGCTTGTAACAGCCTCAGAGAAGAAGCATGGCAGGCCTCCAAGGGCGATTGCGAATAACGATTCAGCGGAGGAGCATGGGCGACCTGTTCAATCGCAAGTTCAGGAAGAGGAAGAAGAACCAGCTGCCAAAAGACGACGCACGAATAATGACGTGACGATGGAAGACGTTGTTGACCAAGATGAAACTCAAGGGGACGCCCAAGAGGATGAATTGCCTAACGTGGAAGACCTTGGAGACGCAGTAGCAGCAAATGGCACCAGACGCAAGCGATCATCAGTGACCTGGGCTCAGCCGCTTACTTCAACGTTGACGGAGCCAAAGACAGTTGCCATGCCTTCTCCTCGGCTTGGTAGGCGCCCTCGCCTTTCAGGAGAGATGCTGGGGGAGAGCACAAAGACGAAAGAAGTCGAGCAACCCACCGCGGCACCACCAAAGACTCTCTTCGACATGATATCGGATAACAGGAAGATGGTACGGCAGAAAACATACGGTAAACGCTCTAAGAGGTGACCTGGATACTTGGGTGTGTTTGGATGCTTAAACGGGTTCGGGTGTGGCATGCAGGACGTGGATGAAATACCCTCAAATGCTAGCCACCAGGGTTAAAATGTACTATTTGCTATAGCTGCGGCGCAAACGGGGTTCTTTTTCAGGGAGCGGCTATCGTGGCTTTGCCTGATGTCCACGGTGATGACATTATATATAGACGGGGGAAAGCAACGAAAAGATGGGGGGTTTCATTAGCTGATTTATTCTTGTGTCATGTGTATCTATTCATCTAGTGCCTCTGGTGAGCTGGCCACATTCTTCTCGTGCTGCTACTACTCCATTCTTTCATCACTTCCAGCGTCCTCACCACCAGGAAGAGATGAATCTCACTTATTCGATTGATTCCGTCTCGTATCCATTACTATAGCCGTTCTGTCCGATCAACTTATATACGGGCATATTCTCTCCCGTTATGTGCAGCATATCACCGCCTACTTATGCAAGGGCAGATGTCGTCATTTCATCCATTCCCGTCTCATCAACTCATATAAATATCACTTTCTCACTTGCGGCATATAATCTCTCCGTGCAAAACCGAAAACCACGCCTCCTCCTCCTTGCCCCAGCGCTTCCACGCCTCAGCCGCCTTGTCCAGCCTCTCCTTGGTGCCCGTGCCGTTCTCAATCGCCGTCTTCGCAAACGACGAGGCCACCGTCCTCTCTGCCCACAGTCCGCTCCACCAGGCAATCTCCGTCTCCGTGCTGTAGCACCAGGTGCTCGAGCCGTTGATGATGGCTGCAGGCGAGAAGCCCGCCTGCTTGGCCCAGGTATGGAGGCGGCGGCCGGCATCGGGCTCGCCGCCGTTGGATCGCGCGTTGTCCGAGTAAAACGCCAGCCAGTCGTCCATGCCGTCGACTTCGGGGTACCAGATGAAGCCTCCAAAGTCGGACTCTCTGGCGGCGACGATGCCGCTCGTCTTGGCCACTCGGCGCATCTCCCGCAGGATGCCCACCGGATCCTTGACGTGTTGGAGCACTTGGTGGCAGAGGACGACGTCGAACGTGTCGTCTGCATACTCGAGAGCATTGGCGTCGCCCTCGACGAAATCTACGTTTGTCACGCCCTTCTCCTTGGCTAGGTCGCGAGCTTGCACCAGCACTCCGGCAGCATTCTCCAGCCCCGTGATGTGGCCCTGCGGCACATGGTTGGCAGCCAGATCAACGGTGATTGTTCCGGGGCCACAGCCAACGTCGAGAATCTTCATGTCCGGCTTGAGATAGGGCAGGATATAGGCTGCCGAGTTGGCCGCAGTGCGCCATGTGTGAGAACGAAGAACAGAGGCATGGTGGCCATGCGTGTAAGTGGCGCCTTCAGTCTTGGACATGATGGCGGTTTTGCAGTGTACGAAGCGTGTGAAGCAGCGAGTGGGAGACGAACGGAGGAGATAAAGACGGGGATAACATGCGATGATGCTCTAGATCTAGGCCAAGGCTGATGGTGCTGACCAAAGATGAGATATACTTTTTGGCCGCCTGGGATCTTGGAGATTCGGGGGCTCTTACATGCTCTCCTCTTCAGCCTCACGGCGCGGAGTACTTTATACTTCGCCGAGGCCGATATCGGAGAGGCGACGCCCTCAGATGAACACGTTCAACACCAACGCAGTTGAATATCTTCGGTTCGCTACATGGAAGCGGATCCGAGCATTTTCTCATTCTGGCAATGAACGGCATTTACTGTTGCATGCGGGATGGCTGGGGCTGCGGAGGGGGGATCAAGTGCGTCTGTTGGGCGTCAAGGGGGGAGTGAAGCCGCTGGAGGGTTTGTTCTTATTCTGCAGCAGCTTAACGACGAGTTTGACAGAAGACGTGAGAGAATAAATGAAAGTTAATACTACAGATATGTATGAATAATCAATACTGCAATACTTGAAAACAAAGACGCTCGCAAGACACAAGCCCGCTTTGTTGCTCTCCTTTAGAAAACCAATAACAACAACAAGATCCGTGTTACCCGAAAACCCCCGATATCCCCTCATGACCAATATCCCATTTTACTCGTACAAGTCCTTGTCAATGTCACCCTCCTTGGTCGCATGCGGGCTCGTCACTTTGATGCCGCTCTCCAGCCTCTCCAGCGTCATCAGGTAACCCTTGTGGTCGCACCAGCTCTTCACCATGCGGACTGCGTTCTTGATCTCGCGACCATTCAGATGCCACAGGGAAAGTTGCTGAAGCTCAGTATCTCCAAGGGTTACCTTTGCTTCCGTACCATCTGTTGCCTCTTCGTCGGGAGGCAGCTCGAGTCCCTTTTGCTCCGGCAGTCGTTGCAGGAATTTTCGCCAGACAGTCTCGCGCGCCTCCCTGCTGAGTGATTGGAAGAGGAGATGCAGGCTGACCCTGCTGCGGAAAGCCGCATCGATTGTGTGGTACAGATTGGTGGTGAGGAAGATGATGCCGCGGAAATATTCCAGCTCCCGGAGGAAGATGCTGACCAGCTCGTTGCGATGGATGTCGTTGGGGTTTCGCTCGGCCATGAAGACGTCGGCTTCATCCAGCAGGATCACGGCGTTCCACTCCGTGGCCATTTCAAACACGCGCTTGATGTTGGCGCCGAGAGACGCGGCGTTGATGCCGAGATCTTCGGCCTGGAGATAGAAGAGCGGTCGGTGGGTGCGATCGGCGACGGCTTCCGCTGTGAGCGTCTTGCCGGTGCCGGGAGGACCCGAGAGGAGAATGATGAGGCCTTGTCCTTTGCCGACGATGACGTCTTCCATTGGCGCTGGAGTTGCAGAGGCTGATGTTGTGGAAGCTGAGGACGAGGCTGTTGGTGCTGCTGAGGGGATGCGGTGAGGACTGTGGTTTTGAACAAAGGAGAGAACAAGGTCTTTTTGCTGATCGTCATAGACGAGATGAGAGTAAGCTGTGTCATTCCAAACCATGGGCTCGACATCCTCAATGTAGAATTCCACTAGGTAACTTATGTTAGTGTTGGCTCGATGATGACTTGGGAAAGGTGTCAATCGAGACTTACTCCATATCTTGTTCTTCAAGGCGTATCCGCCCAGCATTCCGGAAATGAAGCAAAGATCCTCTTCTCGCGACTCCATGTGCTGCTTGTTCTGCAAAAAGTCCCTTTCTCCCAGTCGGCGCATCGTAGTCCGCCTGGCTGACGTCTCGTTTAGAGAATCCGAGTCTGAATCAGAGCTCGAGCTCGAGCTCGAGTCCGAGTCTGAGTCAAACAGACGCCAGCCCACTGTCGACTCGTCGTCTTTCTTGTCGTTTTCTCGCTTGCCTTTGGCCAAGTGATACTTGTTGTAGCCAACAGCGTCGAGGAGGATGCGGCCTTCGACGTTGTGCTTCTCAATGCATTCCTTCCCGGTGTCGTGGAGAGCAATTCCGTTGTATAGGCGATATTGAAGACCCTGAAGATCGAGGACTTTGCGGCCACGGACCGTCAGGCGTTGCTTGACGCCTTCCGGATCTTGATGAAACTCGAGCGGGTAGTGTCCCAGCTCGAGAACGGGCTTGTTTCCCTCGAATTCTTCAATCAGAAGCAGATGATCTTGCCAGACAAACTTTTCGCCGTTGAATCTGAGAATCTTGGTCTTGATGTGCAACGCATTGCCAGAATTCTTGTTTACGTAGACTGTGCTGTCAACCTTGGCAAAGAACTCTGCATTTATGCCAAAGCTGTACACGGTTGAACCTCTTGGGAACAGCGTCCAGGCCGTCCTAAAGTCGACCAGGCGGCTGGTCTGGATGTTTCGTCGCTTGACAATCATCTCGCGGAACATGTCATCCAAGACTTGGATGAACAGCTTCACGTAGGCCTTTAATGGGTCGGATGATTCCGTCTTCTTGTATAGCTCCTTGATGTCGTCCTGACAGAACCAAAGGCTGCGGAAGGGCTCTTCGAAAGTAGCAGCCTCGTTGACGTCGAGATGGAGATTCTCCTTCTTCACAATTGGCGCCAGCGCAGCCACCAGAGTAAGATTCTGGACTTCAATCTTGTGATACTTGAGTGGGATTCGCCCCGAGATGCAAGGCTTGCGATGGTCTCTGGCCTTGTACACCTTGATTGCCACTCGGTCTTGAGCACGAGCCGCCGATTTGGACATTTGCTTGGGCGGATAATCCACCCAAAAATGAGGCGAATACGAGTCTGTCGTGTTTTTGTCGTAGAGCGTTTTGATGATTGGGCTTGAGCCGAGGTTTGCGTCTTTGTCGCTGTTGGCTGCGGTGCCAGCCTCGGAATCATCACCCTCCAAGACGGCCGCGTCCTTGCCATCGCCGGCTTCCTTGGAGAAGGTTGCGTCTTTCACGGGAAAGATTTTGCAGCGCCATTTCCAAGCAAAGTCGGAGATGGCCTCGCGGTCAATGTCTTTGATGTCGCGAAGGCGCATGGCGGGCAAGTCTTTGCTGGATGAACGGGCTCTGGGGATATGTTCAATGTTTCTCTTACGTCCTTGTGGCAAACGGGGGAAAAGAGACGCACCATTGATTTATGTATTCTTTTATCGTATCAACGCCTCAACATGCAGGCTATATACTTATTATGTCACGGTTGGACACAGTCTTGCAGTGGCGCATCTGCATATGTACATACATGTAGGTTGGGCTTAAATGTTTCTGCCTTGAAAACGCCTTGCGGCTGCCTGCGAGGCTTCATCCAACCAGATCGCGGGATGTGCTCTGGCCGGTGACTCAACCGCCATCCCTGCGCATGGGCGAAAATTGGGTAGCCGATCAATACTTTGCGGCTTCCAATAGACTGCCAGTATATGTTTTTGTGTATAGGTTCAATGTTCATCGGGGACCTGTGATGCTGGATGGCTTATTCATTATGGTGATTGCCACTGAATTTGTGACAAAAGACTGTATTGCGTGTAACCATCTGGGTACTGTTTCGTAATGAGGTCTAATAAGAATGCATTTCCATCAATAGCCCATCACTGAATTCCCAAAACACCACCAATGCAAACCTGAATTGAATGAAACCAAAAGCCAAAGCCAAAGCCAAAGCCACCAAAAACTCCAAAGACACTGGATATAGTAAAGACCAAGACACCAAAGACGCCAAAGTCGACTCGACTGCCAACGAGTTGTCGCCCTCTATTTACCAACGTTTCAGCTCGTCTGGCCTCTCCGGGACATGCCCACCCCGAGCTTGAATATAGGCTTCTAGGGCCTCCATGTGTCTGTGTAATACCTGCAACAGGTTGTCGGTATCGTGCGCATGCATTCGTGGCACTTCTCCACGGGTAGTAGAAGCCATGCATGTGCATCCAGTGGCAGCACAGTTTGAACACCCCTGAGGGTTATCGTCGCACCTCAGTTTGTTTTTCTAAACAAGAGTAGTTAGCAACCCAGAGTCTGTCAAGTTGAGGGGCATAATATACGAATCCGACACCGCGTGCAAGCCTTCCCAGACCGCTTATAACCTCGGGGACCTGGGTTATTCCTCTGCTTTGGCGCCTCGGCTGGAGGTGTAGTGGGCTGTGTTTGCCCGACTGCCTGGTTGGTGGCCTGCCCAGGAGGTGTGGTGGAAGCGTCAACTTGTTCCACGGGAGGAGAGAGAAGAACGTCCCTTTGTTGGAACGTATCAGGAGCAGGTACAGGAGCAGGCACGTCACCTTGTCCTATCCAAGTGTCGGGGTCGACATTCATTCCCATGATACCCTCCATAAAAGGGCGATGGTTGGTAAATGACTCCTGCGACGTGATGTTGGGGCTGGGCTCTTCCCCTAAAGTGGCGTGGGTAGCCAATGGTCCTTCCTGGGACACAATAGTAGAGATGGGCTCTTGGTGAAAATTGAAGAAGGGGTCCAATGGCTCCTCCTGAGGCACAATGGTCGAGTTGAGATATTCGGTAAAATTATATTGAGGATCCAATGGTCCTCCCTGGGGCGCAATAGCAAAGTTGGACTCTTCGTCCAAATAAAGGTAATTGGGATAACCGCCCAAGTTGAATGCGTAGTCATCCATATTAGAGTCTTGTCCAGGAGCCATATGGTCTTCGACGTTAGAGTTCTCCATTGGTGGGAAGCCTGACGTGGTTATGGATTGATCTGTTGAAGGGGATTCTAATATATAGAATGCCAATTGAATGGAAGCAAGGTGATGTCTCTCTTTTGTAAAGGATTAATAAAGTACGTGAGAGGGAGTTGTGCAAAGCGTGTGTGGTAGCAGCGTATTGAGGGTGAGCGATGTGAAAAGAGCCTTGGATAGAGAGTAAACATTGGCAAGGCAAGCATTGTATAGCAAAGCAAATCGTAAACAAAACAACCTTTTGAGATTGATAATGAAAAGTATAAAGCAATATGTTTGTTTACTATCTGCTCAGTTGGACGTTGAAAAGATTGACTTTTATCTGGTCTCAGCGTTGTCATGGTATTCCAAAGTTAAACGCACAATTTGGAGTCCGTCCATGGCTGATACGTTAGATATGGGTGAAGAGCAAATACAGAAAAAGCTGATTTGGCTTCAGAAAGCTTTCTTTTGAGAAGCTTTTCCCACCATTACACCCACCGTACTGACAACAATACAGATGAAGAGAGGTATTGCATCTACGGCTACCTCCTAAAGATATCAAAATACGCGGGGAAAGCTACAATGGTTTTATGATGAATGTGCAATATAGATAATTCTGCTACTGGGCTTCTCAATGTCGAATGCCTAATACATGTACTTTCTTCTAGAAAGGGGTATGGGGGAGAAGAAGAGTTTCACTGGGGGGTGTCGGAGGCCAGAGAAGTACCATCTGGCTCTGATATAGTTTCATAATCGCAAATCTTAGCCACGATAGGCCTCTAGAAGCGGAAGGAAAAGACCATCTAGGCGTGACACGGTTCTTCCAAGTGCTGCGTAATAGGGGCTGTTGATGGGACAACGGCTGGGTTTGAGCTTCACTTCTAATCTGCTAGCAATATAGCCACAAAAGAAACCTCAAACTCACATTTTAATGTTTACCTAGTAGTATTTACATACCATAGATCAGAAACATATAGGCTTCGTCAAGCTTCTGTGAGAAATAAACCATGATGGGAACGCCTCTCATTACTAATACAAGAACGAGAAGATTTTAGAAACAAGGGTTATACAGTTTTGAGCCTTCCAAGAGATATTCACAATGCCCATATACACAAACATGTCGAGATTAATCTAGTGTCATTATCAACATTGTATACGCGATTCTTTCCGAATCAAGACGGATAACGTGGTGGTATGGATCCCGGAGTTTTCCCATGGTTATCAGTCTGGCGGCATTGAAGATTGGGAAAATGCTTTTATAGTACAAAAGTAGTGGCTGTAACGCTATTGTTCCATTGACGTACATTTATAGGCGCAGTTTCGTCTCTCGCATACTCTGCAAGATCTGCTGTGCACGGCCACGGATCTTAACTTTACGAGATAGCACAACATACTCTTGTGCTGGCTAATCAACCCTTTTCATTATTCCCCCCCTCAATCTCAAATGAATTTCATCGCCCACGATCCAATTTTGTTGTTCTCATGCATTAGAAGAGCACTTCATGATACTCCAATGCGGTTAGTTCAGGATCGCTTTTACCTTGACCGCCATCATGGCGTCCATTTGGGCGTCCTTGAAACTACCTGTCTGTCTTTTTCTCGCGTCATTTTCAGTCGCCTCTCTGGGATTAATGCTGCGCTGCTAATGTTGGCAGTCAGTTGATGCGTTATAAGTGTTCTTGTACTTGAAAGCTGCATCTGCAACCCAAATCGGTCGCTGTGGCGGTTGCCAAGTTGCTGTCGTTGAGGCCATTGCTAATTTAGACGCCGTTTCTTGTTATTCTCCAGGTTTCTCTTACCTGGCATTCCCGTTGTTGAAAGTTCAGCCCTGCCCCAGCCATCTACCTGACCTAGGTAGCCAGGGGAAGTGCCGGATTGGCCATCGAGTCTCGTAGCTGGATAGGGCTCCGTAATAGTAGCACAAGAGCAGCAGAGAAAAATATCAGCCGTGTTTCTGAGCCCAACTGCTCTTCCATCTTCTCATTCTTCTTTGAGCAACATCTTATACGAACGGAGATTAGAGATTTCCATGTTACGACTTCACATTGGGTGTCGATGCCGGTTTCCCCTGCTCAGTCTTGATATCTCGCCATTTGAACTAGATTGAGGTTGATGATGGTTTTATTTGCTAAATCTGTTCCTTGAGTATCTGTGTCTATTGCTACAATCCGGCCTCATCACCCCTTTCTTCTAGTATATGCCACTATGGCTACATCCTTTCAGTACCTTATATGCCACTCTCAAACTTGAAGCGTTAAAGGCTATGAACTCCTCTTATACACAACGAACCCTGTTCATTTTAATACAATCTTTCAAGTCCATGCCCTCGATAATAGATATTGTCTCTGTCAGCTGGCAGCAGCTGGCATATCACAATACAGTGTTGATATACATCCGAAAAAAATCCTCGCACGGAGAGCGATAAGAACTTCATCCCACCACGATAGCGCGGGACAGCTTCAACATCATCCCCCCACCATCATCGAGACCTGCGATCGCATTTTCTCTGCCATGGCCGTCGAAACCATAGAGCTCGAGCATGTGCCGGCGTCGTACCGAGTCTATCTCGCCCTCTTCCGCAATGTGAAGAACGCCGCCTTCTTGCACCAGCAGCTCCTCGCGCGCAACGCCGAGTTTGAATATGCCTTTATCGACGCTTCGACGGTATGTTGAAACTGGGCGCTGCTCTATGGTTTGCCTAAGATCAGCGAATAGCTCAGAGTAGCCAGGCGAGGCGACTTTTCCAGCCCATTACTGACTGTTGCGCGCTCGCAGATTGTCTCGCGCATGCACCTCCTCTCAGCCGTCTTCAAAGCAGTCAACGGCTCGTTCAACGGGGCCCTCAAGACACCAAACGTCCATTCAGAAACAGTCGTATCACTGAGCTCCTCAAGTAACGTGCGTATTGCACCTCGCCATCATGAACAGAAGCTGCACCGAAGATGTTGTGCAGAGAACTAATCACTTGCGTTCCAGATTGCCGACGCATATCGACGCTTCGGCGTTTCGCCCTCCACCACAGACCTTTTCGTCGTCAAGATTGTTTTCCCCACCGATAGCAGCCCCGTGCCTGCATCCGCCGACGCCATTTCGCAGCACCTCACGGAGAACGTCGAGGGGGATGCCGTCCCCGCTACCGACGACACCATCGAGACGATTACAGACGTTCGCGCAGTTCGCAAAAGCTATAAGCTCAACGGTCTGACGTGGTTGGATAGTATCAAGGACGAACTGGTGAAGCGCAAAGAGATTGAGAGGCTTGTTCTTGGGGGCATGGCACTGCGGGGAGTATGAAGGAAGAGGTGATTTGGATATGATGTGGCTAGAAGTCGTAACAAACAACTCGGCGACATATGTGCATGTATGTCATCATGCTCAAGAAGAAAAGGATAGAAAAGGGGGAAAAGAAACAGAGGCACGTCAAAGGCGCAGGGAGCGCCAGAATTCAGTTTGGGTGAACCAGTAAGTTGAATATTCTGTAAATTTCCAGTCTCTCTCGCCGGCTATTCACATTCAATGCTAGATACTCTAATAACCGTCTCTATCAACAATGTCGCAAAAATACAATTTCGCAAAAATAAATTTGCCAAACTCCAAACCGTGCAATGTCGCAGGTATCGAAAAGACCGTCCTTGGCCAGTTGCTTGTTCACACCCATGTGGATGCAAACCCACACAATTCCTCTCCTGCTCCCTTCTCACCCTCCCCTCATGATCTAATTACTTGTTGATTTAGGCCATGCCGACCGCGGTCTTGCAACGCCTGACCAGCTCAGCCCACATGGCATCTCTTCCGTTTCTCGTTCGCTGAACGGCGTCCTTGTTCTCTTGAGCGCGGCGCAAGAGATACTTCATGCACTCCCCAGTGGTGCCCCAGACAAGATACTTGTAAACGGGCAGTGGTCGAGCGTTGGCATTGTCCTTTTGGGCTGACTGGCTAGCCTCGACAAGCTCGCAGCTCACCTCGTCCGCCATGCCCTGGAGCTGGGCGAATGCAATGTCCGACTTGGCGCCGCCAGCATCGCATATGGCTCTGGCACGGCGAACGGATTCGACATTGTGAGTTGCGAGGACGATGTGGGCGTTGGGGAACTCGCCCTCGCCCTGAACAGCAGCGGACCATTGCCTGGTCAAGACGCTGGCGGCGATGCTGTTGTAACAGGCGTCCGTGTCCTCCTTGGTATCGTGAAAGCACTCTCGCGGATCCGAGCCCAAGTATGCGCCACGCACCAGCTTGATGCCGAGGGTGAAGCCCTCTTTTTGCGCAGCAGCCAGGTGCCGCGATACCACGGCAGGGCAGTTCTTCTTGTATGCCTGATATGTACCATAGATGGTGGCGGTGTCTGGAGAGTCGTTGTACTTGCGGGCGAATTGCAGGGTCCAGTCGTCGATGCCGTCTTGCAGCATGTCCTGCTCGGCGTCGAAAAGGAGGCGCACCCCGCGGTCACGAGCGAGCTGGCAGATGGCGTCAATGGATTCGCTGAGATGCTGAGAAGGCGGAAGTCCGTTCTTGAGCTGGTTGAGGGCCAGACTGCCGGCGCCGGTGAATCTATGACGACGGTTAGCACTTCTTCTTCATCAAGGAAAAGTTACAGGGAGATGAAAACTTACTTGAGCGCAACAAAATCACCAGGCTCGGCCAATCGAACCGTCTCCAAGGTTCCATCTCTCCAAGGGTTGATCTCCCTCTCGATGTCGCGCGCCGATTCCTGGCCCAGATTGGCAATGGTCAACTCCTTGGCGTCGGACTTTTCCAAGACAACTTCCTTGGCATAGCCCAGAATGACGCCAGTGAAGCCAATGTTCTTGAGCCGGCCAACTGTTTGCCGCACCTCGGCCGCATTCTCACCGGCGCAGAATTGGGCGTAAAAGGACTTTTTCAGGAAGAACCGCAGCAGGGGATTTCTATCGGGGTTCAGGACGGGGGACTGAGCGTGAGCCAGCGCCACCATGATGCGCAGCGAGGGCGGCAGCAAAATGGGGGAAGAGGAGACTACCGTCGTTGCCAGCGAGCGGAGAATCATGCTGAGCGGCAAGACTGAGAGCGGCGCTCTGTTTGCCTCCATGGTTGGCGGTGCTACGGGCGGCATGGATCCCGGTAGATCTGCCACCGTCGACGTCCGCTTCTCGGATGAGTGTATGCTGCGGTGCTGTTTCCGCGAGTTGAGGGTGACGGAGCTTTGGGTGGCGAGAAGTCGTGATGATGACGAGCATGATGATGGTGATGAGGTTCGGAGATGAGAGATGGATAGAGGCGAGGAAAGGGGAGTCCGGTAGCCGGGCAGGCGCATTGCCTGTCGACCTGGGACAGAAAGCATCTTTTGTTTGGCTGAGCACGCAGAAACAGACGAGGTGATGCTGCGGTTGTGTAGTACTAAGGTGAATGATGATGGAATTACAATGAATGGATTGAGTCTTGATGGGTTGTATCAGACAGAAATCTTGGTCAGATCAGACGGGATTTTGTGTAAGACGAGGCTTGGTTGCTTTTTGGTAGCGCGACACAAACAGACGAGGTGGCGTTGGCTACTATAGGTATCTACCCGTGTGGCTAATAAAAGCGATTGAAGCCGAGTATCAGATAAATAACAGGATGTGTAGATCGAAAGATGATGATTGGGGACGTTGGCCTGGCAAAGGGTCTGTATAGGTAGATAAGGGGGGGAGGGTGATGTGGAAAGATGGCGAAGAGGGTTGGCATCAAAGGGGGGAAGAGAATGGATTTATTTAATCTTTGGCAATCAGGACAGGCACGGCACACAAAAAGGGACTGGACGCTATCTAGGAGCCACCCGGCAGCTACGGAGGGCCGAAGAGAGGCGAGATCTAGAATGTCCAGGGACCGCGAAGATGGGATTGATGCGAGTAGAGAACCAGGCGCTCCGTTGCCGGTGCTGCCAGACGCCAGATGGCCCCGGAGGTACTGCGTGTAGCAAAACGAGCGGGACAGGTACATACAAGATAATGCAAGCATGGCCAACGGACCCCAAGCGAACCGGGGGTGTGTCTTTTGGCTTTTGCTTCTCCGCAAAACTCCGTATCAGGCCGCTGCACTGCAGGAGAGGGGGCAAGTCTGGAATGCGCCAGCCATTTGGATCGGATTGTCATCTTGGAGATTATGTTGGCTGGGACTCTGGCTGGCTGGCTGTTTGATTATACAACGAGCAACTCAATTGATAAGCTGGGAGTGACTTTTTTTTGGAGAAGAGAGGGGCGATAATGGCATCACGTGGCGCCCCTCATTGGGGGGATTTTTGGAGGTGCAGCCGAGAGTAGCCGCGGGCTAGGATTTTTGGAGCTAACTGTAGATTAGGTACGATGACACTAGGGAGAATTGCCCTGCAGCCGGGGCTGTTTATACAGTATGGATGGAAAGATGGAGGGCAAATGGAATTGAAACTGGAGATGATGTGGTTCGTTTCATTCTAACCAGTTGGTGTTCTTGGGCAACCCCCACGCTAACCGCTGCATCCCTCCCCCGGCTTGCTTCGTCCTTGTTGCATCCCATCCATCTGGGCTGGCTTCTAGGCCACTCCGTACATACAGCTGAAAGCTCCGATACGGCGCTCTTCGTCATGTGCATCATGAGGGCATGCAAGCCATTGTCAGGTGAACTCGCGTTTTTTTTTTTTTTTTTTTTTTTTTTTTTTTGAACATGCATGAATCGGGGGCTGCCTCCAATCGCCAATGGCCGCCCTCTCGCCCCCCCTCTCTCTCTTCAATGATATCATGAGATGATGCTTCTGTGCTTTTTTTCCTCGTGCGGGCGAGAATAGCGCGCCATGTTGGTGTGTGAGACAGCATGCGCCAGTGTATACGTAGGTAGGTAGGTACTAGGTAGGTACTCGTACATACAAGAGCGTTGGGCCTCCTCTTTTCCTCTTGTCTTTTTGCTTCTTCCAATTTGTTTTCCATTCATCCATCCTGTAATAGCTCGCTCGATGTACGCAAGGTAGTCGTATCATGTCGGAATAAGTGAGGCCCGATTGGAAGCGTTCGTCAAGCTGAGCTTACATGTGGCCGTGGGGGGAACTTGGCCCGTCTGCCCGGAGCATGCGGCTCCGTCTCTCCTGTCGTCTCCCCCTTTGCCTCTTTACTTGATTCGGGGCATTGACATCACGTCCAGGCGGTGCTTTCATGCTCCCGTTGGCTCCCGATATGCCCAGAGGAAATGAGACCATCTCCACCGTCTTCTGCTGAGTTGCAAACGAAAAATAGCGGCTGCTTACGGCGCTGGGCTGCCTCTAGACGTCGTCGCCTTCTCGTGACCGAGCGCCAGAGCCAAACCGACGTCGGATCATCTCCACATACCCAATCGGTCTGCCGCGGGCCAAGCCCACCAGATCCTGGACACCTCCGTAGGCCAGGCCAAAGACCAGCCCGTACTTTGCGGTGCGCGCGGCGGTGGAAAGCGAGAATCGATCTGTAAGCCCAGTGCCGGCCGAAGATCGGCTTTCTGTTAGCTAATGGTTCCCACCGTCGTGATGTTTTCTTGCCCTTTTTGGGGGGACTCTGGCCATCTTGATCCGACACTTGCCAGCAGGGGGCGTGGGGAAGCAAAAGAGAGAGAGTGACAGGCACAAGCTTCAAAGCCGGTGAAAGCCAGACCTAGGCTAGCCTGGGTTCTCCTTCACCTTTTTTTGGACAAAGGGCAAAAAATGATGAAGAAATTTGCGAAGAGCCAAGAAAAGTGAATGAAGGAAAAGCAGAAAAAAAAATCAAATAATAATAATAAACAAAAACAGACGAAACAGTGGAATGAAGAAACCAAACTCACGCCAGAGCGAAAATGCTCCTGCGACGGTAAGCGTCGCCACAACCGTCGAAAACATGTCGCTGCTCCCCCGATAGCGGTCCACGGTGCTCTCCAAGGACAAGGCCATCAGGCTCCAGAAGCCCGTCTTGAAGCCCATGCGGAAGCCCTCCTGGATGCCGCCCTTCATGGCGTGGTAGTTCTTGGACTTGTGATAAAGGTACCAGCCCGCCGTCGTGTCCGGCATCTTGTGCGCGTGCTCGGCCCGGAAGCGCAGCTGCGCCATCTGGCCTCCCTGGACCGCCCCAAGCGAGGCTCCCACCATGCCGGCGGCCACGGAGCCGAACAGCAGCCGCGTGGGAGTCATGATGGCCAGTCGGGGATGCGAGTCGGCCGGGAAGATGGGCTGGTCAACGGGGGCCGAGCGAGGCGCACCGAGGAGCAGCCCGTCGCCGCTTGAGGCTCTCGCCATGGTGAGGGAGCTGGAGCTGGAGCTGGATCTGGATCTTGGGAGTCGTCGTTCGTCCTCGTAGTTTGCGAGCAAAGCCCGATCCCCAGGCGCAAAAGGGGACTCTCTGTGAATATTCGTAGAATTGCTGGATCCGATTGGCTACAGTGGCTGCATCTTGTTGCTGAATTCCATCTAAAGCTGCACGCGAAGCTATACTGAGGTACTAATCTTATCAGCAGCCTCTCTGCCTCTCCGTATCGCATGGATGTTTTTCCGTATGCAGGTGGCCAGCTAAAATCACTTAACGCGTGCTCACGTGGCTTCGCGCTCACTAAATCCGCGGGGCAGTGCCGCAACTTTGCACGCCTCAGTACCGAATACATGATGCCTAGGCAGCTACAACTTCACTTGAGCAGAGAAGAGAGCATCTGATTCCAACAGCCCAAGAGGTGCTTCTACGGAAGAGTCACTCAATTTTTTTTAATAAACGAAGCCGAGAGAATAAGTCACTTCAAAATGGTGAATCAACTTCCTCGCAAGCATCTTTGATGAATGAAAATACTAAGTGCAGCAGCTAACTGACGTCGACGATGCGCACATATCCGTGCGCTTCAAGTACGGCATCCACACCATCTTCCTCTTCATCGACGCGCTGGCTCCCTTCTCCTCTGTCACGCAAGATCTGCTCGAGGTTCTCAGAGATCGATATCCCGATGGTCTCACAAAGTCGAGTTCTTCGCCGGATGGGAGGACTCCCGTGCCAGATGCAGCAAACCTGATCTACGGCGTTCTCCGTGTACCCACCGATCCCTCCAAAGGATGGAAGCCTCTGAAACTTGGAGACGACGGTTCGAATACCCCCAGCAAATGCGGAATCAAGGATAACAGCATTGTCGCCTTTGCGTTTGCACCAGATGAAGAGGATGAGATGGATGCTGAGGAGGGAGATGCTGTGTTTGAAGTTGAATGGCCTCAAGAGGACGAAGAGCTCTACGAACAAGGGCCCTGAGAGGATGGATGTGTGACATTTATCGCGGAATTGTATCATATTGAATACTGGAGACCTTTCTCGAATCACGGCGCCGTCTCCCATTGAGCCTGGGTTGCGTCGGCAACCTAATAATCGTTGCGAAGGAAATCTTGCTCAAAGTTTGGGTGGCTTGCAATTCTCCCTCGCAGACTTTTCATGGCGTTCAAGGTGGAGAGAAAACAATAATACTAGGGACTATTTGGGTTCATAGCAAAAGACATTGACCATTTGTCTTCATGGCGCCGCGGGTGGCTGCACCGTATCTCCGTTGTCATGGAGATGCGTCTTCTCTTCGGTCAATTTCGGTGGCTTTATGTGTTGGTTTACCGCTCGATTTTGAACTATACCGTGCATTCACAGTATTGGCGCAAAGAAGAAAGCTCAAACAAAATGACATTATATTCAGCCGCGGAATCATATTCGGCATCTACGGTAAAAGGGGCCCCCGCCACAAACCTATATGGCCAAAGCAAGAGGAAAGAAGCGAAGAAAACCAAAAAAAATATATATTCCATCCTGACAAATTACGGAGCCGATTCTGCTCCCGATATATCTGCCCCATCATTGACTAGTTATACGTTCAAGTTCACGGCCACACCCGGCCCATCTTCGTGAAAACTCGAGGGAATAGCACCGTAGGCGTTCTAAAACTCAAATCCAAAGGAGCTGAATCGTGGCGCGGTAACTCTGTCGCAAGAGAAGCGGACGAGATACGGTGACCCGGACGTGGCTGACGACAGGAAAGTGGTGCCGTCTGGTGCGCTGACTGTGATGTCGAACTCGGCAATGCGAGGTCCCTGACCGTAGACGATACGGAAAGGATAGTATTGGCCTTCTCGGAAGTTGACGGTATATGTTCCCGTTGCAGGACCGTTGTTATAGACGGCCTTTAGATCTGCGTTTGCGCCGGTCCAGCCAGAGTACGCCTCGGGGCCGATCCAGATGTAGGCGGCATCGTCAACCTGGTTGAGGGTAAATGTGTAGGTGCCCGTCTGGCGCGCATAGATGTAGCCGTGGTGGTTGAGGACAAAGTCAGACTCTGAGAGAGGAGGAGAGCCGTAGACACTCTTTGGGGCGCCGTCTTGGAAGCTGATGCCATCGATGATGTTGGCCACGTTTTGGTACTCTGGATGAATTGTCTATGTGGTTAAGCCCGCATTAGTATTGATGGAATTAGGAGGGTGTAGGTACGGTATTTGGCAACATACCTTGTATTCTTCAGGACGCCAGTCTGCAAAATCACCACCGACAGTTCTGTTGTAGTAGGCGAATTCGATACCCTGGTTTCCGCAAGATGAGGGTGCGGGACAGGCTCTCGTCGTAATAGTTTGCGTAGATGTAGACGTCGTTACAACGGGGGGACCGCGTCCAAGGGGACCAACAGTGCTGGTTATGGTGATTGTGGGCGACACGAAGACGGTCCTAGTAGATGTGAATGTGGGAGTTGGGAGGTCGATGCAGCTACACGCCTCGGTGACATCAAGAGTTGGGAATTGGGTGACGCATTCAGGGATGGGCGGGATGTAAATTCCATTGTCTAGCTCGAACGGCGTGGGGCTGGCTGTGCAAGAGCTGCTGGTGACAGTTCTGCAATTGCATGAAACGATTAGACTGATGCCATGGTAGACGCATATTGAAGGGCCGCATGTACTTACACAATAACGCGGCTTGTGATGGTGGGACGGACGGCGCTGGAGTTGGTCGTCGTCAATGTGACGGTGGTTGGTCTCACGATGGTGGTGGTTCTGGATCTGATGACTGAATGAAGAGGAACCACGGCCTATGAGGTTTGATGTTAGTTATTTTGACGTGGTAGAGTTTGGCATTGAACGTGTAAAGGTGATTCCTTACAGCGCAAAAGGCAATCGCCAATGGGTCTCCGATGAGAAGTTGGGTGATGACATTGACAGCCAGGCATGTGGCTGTATCAATAATACCAGGCACCACTAGCTGAGGTGTCGGGGATGCAACAACTGATGTGGATAATGTCAAGGCCACAGCGGCCAGTGAAGAGAAGGAATGCTTCATGATGCCGGCACTTGAACTGTTAGGTTCGCGGACGAGGGATGAAGCTGGGTGATGAGCTAGAGGGAGTATAACGCGGCCTAGGGCGTGTTATTATATAGTTTTTCTTCTTATTCTCCCCTTATTCTCCCCCACTTTATTTTGTTATCCTATGACTCCTTGACTATTCGTGCTATATCCCTAGAGAGTTGTGTTATGACTACATGTACCTATGAAACGAAAAGGGCTAGCTGTCCACCCGATCTTGGCGCATCTGTGTCATGAACAACACATCAAAGATTCCTTGATACACCGCCCCTCCATACGTATGTAAGGGATACGTCGCTTTGAGATCAATAAAAACGCCACTTTCTGTGGTTGAAGCCCAAAAACCGTGCTTTCGGATGCGTGGAGCAGATGAAACCTATCAAATGAGGACATTCAATGGCTCAGATTACAACAGTTCCGGCCTCGCCAAACATCAAAAGCTGTGATTTTGCCAAGATGATGAAAGGCATGCCAGGGCCCTCCCGATGGCCCTATACTGGACCTAATCTCCTCTAAATAGAATTCTCCCACGGAGAAAGGTAATGTTCTTTTGCAAGTGGTCTACGATGAAGTTTTGAAGCATCGTAATTGGATCGAGACGGGGGCGCGCGTGTCTCACAGCTCGAGTACAACGAGAGGCTGGCCAATGAGAAACATGCCGTGTCTGTAGGGAAGGCTCGTAGCCTGAATGTGTCAATAAAAGGCCGTTTTGATTTCCCGTGTCTTAGACCATGGCTTGCGTGGCACAAACGGGGTTGAGAAATAAGGTCTAGGCAGCTGTCGTTTCGGTTCGGCTCGGAGTGTGGATGCTTCCGGATGTGAGGCAACCATTGAGAGTGCACCAATCTCCAGAGTTTTTGAATGAGATGGACATGTCGTATCCTCAAGGGAGTGATTAGCCATCGCCATGAGCGGACCATTTGGTATCCTAAGTTTGCGGTAAGGTCTGATGACTACATGTACTAACCTATGCCATTGCTATTATATGAAAGGTCATCCAACTGAAAGTTCTTGAACTGGCTTCGTTTAGCTCATACATATTTTAGCATGTCTAAACTTTACATGATACTAGATGCGTACATGTAGTTACACTCACCTATGCCACCGAACAACAGTAGCGGTAGCACATGGCGAAATCCATGTAATGACCATGCGCTTGCACATCAATTTTAGTAAGCTTGTGAGGTAGCCATAGTCAAACAGGCTTGTCGCTACTTGGACCCAATTGCCAAAAGGTCTCAGAGCTAGGTATTTGAGAAAAGGAACATTTCCCCTTGCATAGGGTGGCTTCACGGCCTGATTTTCAGCTTACTTGGCACACTCCGTTAGAAACCTAAACAGGCAATTTGGTCTGGCACGACCGTTGCCCTCTTCGCATCCATCTTATCATGGATGGGAGAAGCCGACGCCTTATTGACTCTGGGTTATGAGCAAATGTGCAAGGGCGCGGCCTGAGTCGCCATAGGCTCTGCCGTGGGATATAGATGTATGCGTTGGTACGCTACAGACTCTTGGTAAATCTCCATTTGAACTCGGCCTTTATAGACATAAAAGCTATCTGGCTTCTGGAGAAAGCGTGTGCAGGTTGGGTAGGGGGTAGATAGGGTGTGTAGCGCGAGGGACTCGGCTGGTGGGCATGATGATCCGGATCACACACCACGAAGACTCTACACTCATGATGAATATGTTCGAATCAAGAAACAGCAAACCTATATCGGCACTTTTAATATAGCTAATATATATCGCCTCAGGAACAGAAGAAGCGACTAGCCCTAGCTGGACTCGTCGGGATCCTAAGCTACGACCCTCACTATAATATAATAATCAGTGGACCTTTATCATTAACCTAACAAGAGATAATTATGCTATTGAGATAACATATAACTAATGGGCCCAAATCAGGATGAAAGCATCCGGTAATTCGTTGACAGCTAGGGAACACACTGTTGGGCTGACAGACGAACGCCAAACTCAACAATAGAATTGAACCTAGCCTGTATAGCCGCTACGAGAATCATGGCGTAAGAAGAAGTCGGGTAATCATTTGATCTAGTTGCCGTAGCCTTGTTCCTCTAGGATCGAGGCTACCATCTCAGCTAGAGGCCATTTCATCGCGATAACATGTCTTATTTTTTTCTATCTATATCTGTACCTAGGCTATGAGTAAGAGATCCCCTTTTATATCAAGAAGCCGGGCCCAGCCCGGCTCAGTCACCAATCCTAGCCATCAATTGATCACAACTGCCAAGGTAAGAGACTCTAGCTGTTTATGTCTTCCACCGTAATTCATCACTCTTCCCTTGTTCGCCGCCACTGCTTTATTTTGGAAGCTTTGCAATGATCTTTTCACAGAGAGCAAACAAACTTGTGGCGTTGGTGATGTCGAGAACTGTGATTTCGGCACCAAGTGTAAGTCGTACCCAGTTACGGAATTCCACCGCGGATAGCGAATCCAAACCGTACGTGGCCAGGCTCTTCCCGGGCTCGATGGGATCTGACAGTCTCAACGTCTTGGTGAACTTGGCTCCCGTCAATTCAACTGCTGCGGCAAGAAGAACAGCGTGGTCTGGCGCGGAGCTCCGAAGCAATTGGAATGCCTGGATGTCTCTCTCATCGCTGTTTCCACTCTGCAGGGCGGCATTGCCCGTGTTGGATCCGAACAGAAGAGAGAATCGTGCATCGTATGCCAGCTCGGAGTCTGGAGGCTGAGGCACCGGAATTCCAGTAATCATCTGGTCTGCAGAATCCTTATTGATGGTGTTGGTTTGCTGCAGAATGCTGAAGAGAAGAATCCGGTGCAACATGGACTCGTTGATTCCTGTCCACTGCTTGTCGTCGAAATGCTGCTTCATGCCACCTTGCTCTGCGACGTAGCCGACATCTTCAATAACGCCGAGGTCGACACTGTGGGCGGCAAGGCCAAGGGAAAGGCGGTACTGGGCAAACGCGTCAAGGAACACATTCGCAGCCGAGTAGTTGGCCTGTCCCTTCTGGCCAACGACACCACTGATGGAAGAAAGCAGAGTGAAGAATTCCAAGGGCTCCTTCTGCGCCAACGCCGCGTTGTGAAGATTCCACGTTCCTTGGACTTTGCTCGCAATGGTGGTGTGGAAGTCATCAATGGTCATGGTTTCGTACGGCCTGTCACGCAGAACCATGGCACCTTGGATCACACCACCCACAGGAACAGCAGCCTTTTCAAACACGCCGTTAACCGCCTTTGCATCGGAGACATCGGCGGCGGCATCATACACGGTGCAGCCCAGAGCAGCACAGTTTGCGATGACCTTCTGCGATCGCTCGTCTGTGCAACCACTACGCGACAGGGCAATGATGTGCTTTGCTCCCTCTCGCGCCAAGTAGATTGCCAGAGAGCCACAGAGGCCCTTCAAACCTCCCACAATGACATACGAGCGGTCCGCACGAAGAGCGAGCTTGCGTGTCGCCGGTCGGACAGGCACCGAGGCGCTTTCTTTGCCATCCGAAACAACAATCTTTCCAATATGCTTGCCGCTCCGCATAAACGCAAAGGCTGCTGGGATATCATCAAACCCGTACGTGGTGATGGGAAGAATGGGCTTGATATGACGGTCCTCTACCATCTGGAAAGTTTGAGCCAAGAGTCTATTACAATGTAAATATTAGCATGGACCACTTCAAACAGCCCCTTGAAAAAGGGCGAATATCTCTCCTCTTACCTCTGGATAATCTGATCCGTCACTTGCTTGTATGAAAAGTCAACAGCTCGGAACGAGCAGTTACGGTCAAAGGGCTCCATGGACAAGTAATTCCTGTCCACAATATCCTTCTTGCCGATTTCCACCATGACACCTCCGTCGGCGCAGATTCTCCATGACTCGTCAAGCAGCTCGCCTGTGAGAGAATTGATGATGACATCAATGCCCTTGCCACCCGTCATTTCCAGGATGGCAGAAGCAAACTGTGTGTCTCTAGACGAGAACATACGGCTTCGTGGGATGCCAAATTCCTTTTCCAAGAACTGGCGCTTTTCTTCTGTACTGACAGTCACATAGATTTCGGCACCGGCCCATTGAGCTAGTTGAATAGAAGACAATCCGATACCTCCTGCGGCAGAGTGAATCAAGACGGACTGGCCCTTCTTCAGGCCGCCAATGTCGAATAACGAATAAATTGAAGTCAGGTAGACGAGCGGGATGGTGGCAGCTTCTTCAAAGGAAAGCCAGTCGGGGATTTTGTGGGCTCGCTCGACCGGAGTTTGGATCAAGTTTGCAAAAGTTCCGTTTCGCAAAATGGCAACACGATCCCCTACCTTGAATTGCTCTGCACCTGGACCAACACGACGAACAATGCCGGCTCCCTCAAGACCCAGGAGATGCTCATTCTCCGGCACGATGCCCATGGTGACGGCAATATCTTTGAAGTTGAGGCCAGAGGCGTGCATTTCGACTTCAATCATACCAGGCTCCACTGGGAGCGGCTCTGAAGACATTTCCGAGTATTGCAATGCATCCAGTGTCCCCAGACGCTCAGCTCTCAGCATTGCCACGGGGCGGATATCCCTGAGGGTCTTTGTCACTGGTTCGCCGCCAAGCTGACCAGCCTTCTTGAATTGGTTCACCGGTTCATCTGGAACCACGCGGTTGACGTAAATGACCCCTCCTCTCTCAACGAACTCGGGCTCAGCCGGCGCTTGGAGTTTCAAGTTTAATACTTGGCCTAGAACTCGGTTGATGGAGGAGAATGCAGACTGGCTCTCTCCATCCTCGACGTCAAGAGTTGTTACCGAAACTCCGCGATCCTCGGCGCGAATGGTACGGAACAATCCATGAGCCAATGCGTTATCCGGCTTGGTAACGTTCATTTGTGAACCTTGGCTGACCCACAGGGTACGGTGGCCCTGCAAGACCAACTGTTTAATCGAATTCCACTGAGCTTCCTCGATAGTCGGGAGCACTGGCTTAACAAGATCATCCAGAATGAGCAGAATACTGTTCTTCTCCAGATCAGCAAACGGAGCCGAGTGTTCCGTCACTTTCCAGCCCTCCGAGAGGAGAGTTGACTCAAGCCCAGTGCTCAAGCGGCTTTCGGGTATCAAGTGGATGACGCTGACGTGTCGGTTTGTCTGTTCTGCCTGTTGGATAGCTCTCGCGAAATGAAGTCGCTTCCCGTTCTCAATGGATACGGTGGCAGCCTTCTCGAATCCATTTGCGGAAAAACTGTCCACATCTGTGGCCGCTTCGCCTTCAACAAAGAGGGCAATGGCTCCATCAGAGAGTATGGCACGGATGTTGCCAGCAAGCTGTGTAAAGTTTCCATCCAGGGTGGAAACTTTGATCAAGGCTAGATCAAACTTCTGATCTTTGGCGTCGAAAGCGGACTTTGAGAAATCGTGAAGCTCAAAAGATGCTTGACCATTCTTTTCGTAATCTCCCCGGGCGTTGATAATCGACCTTGCGTCTGGTGATGCCAAGGTATATGCCGAATATCCTCTTCGAAGTGAGCGGTCGCCATCGTCAAACCATAAACTCGATGAATCCCCGGGGACAAGGTTGACCTCGAGGACACTAAGCCGTGGTGACTTGTGTGCAACAAGATCTATGATGTCTTGTATCTTTGGCTGTGGGCCACAAGCAAGGCTAATGAGCTTGTCGTCGTGGAGGTAGCTAATGTCAGGCCGCCAGATGGTCCTGCTCAGAGTGTGCTGTGAGTGCAATTCAATACCGGTGTCAAGCTTGTGACAACGCAATCCCGTAAGCTTCATCAATTGCCGTCTCGTATCAGGATCGTACACGGTGCAGCTAGACCAGTAGTTCTTGGCCTCTTCCTTTCTGCCACGACCCGTATAGCCCGCGACACCAAGAGATACTCCCACAGCAGGACGGCTATCCGCAGCGTTGATAATGAGCTCATCAATCGATGCGGGAACAACAACCGAGTCCAGAGCGCTGCGATCTCCCGCGCGCAAAGCAGGTTGCGTCGTCTGGAAGCACCCGTCCATGACAGCAGGATGGAGAGGATAATGAGATTGCGGTGAGTGAGCGGCCTCGGGCTCCTCAAGAGAGACGGTTGCTCTGCTTCGTCTTTGGCCAACAAGGCTCTCTACATCAATGAGTTTCTGGAAAGCAGGTCCAAATCCGTATCCGATATTCGCCTGTGCCTTATACCACATGTGCGCGGGAGTTGGGAACTTGAGAGGGGTGACATCCTCCGCCGAAGCCGGCTCTGTGAAATTGTGTTAGTCTTTTATCGTCTCATTAAGCTGCTTCATCGTCACTTACCATTCACAGAAGGGTCGCTCAGTCGAATGAGACCAACACAGTGAGTCAACCAAAGGTCGTCTCCGCGAGAGGATGATACCTTGAAGTCATACCATGGGTTACCAGTTCCTGGGTGAGGCGTCAATGTGAACATGACCTTTGTGTCCACATTATCTTCCAACACCAAGGCCTTGTCGAAAGTCACGTTTCGTAGCCTGTAGGAAAGTTGAGATGCCCTTTCTACGCCCTCGATCGGTTGCAAAGCTTGAGTAGACTGGTATAGGGCCTCAACAGCCATGGCGATATATCCGGACGCAGGCATCAAAATATCGGTGCCCATCTTGTGATCGCGGAGCCAAGGCAGCTGCTCTAGCTTGAGAATCTTGCGGAACGATGGTGAGTGCCATGGGGCTCCAAAAACCTTGGTGCCCAACAGATCGTGATGAGGATATTTCCGGAAGCGCCAATCACGACTGGCATCATTCTCGTGCCAGTACTTTGTGCTATGGTTCCACACGTAGTTTGGTAGATCGAAAATGACCTTGGGCTTGGGACTATCAGCCTCTTGGTTGACTTTGGTGAGAGAAATTGGCGCACCCTCTACGAAGAGAGTGCCGGCAACCCCGTACAAAGCCAAGACTGAATCCGTTCCACGATTCAGTGCTTTTGTATATTTAACATTGTTGGCTTTGGTGCCAAGAGCAGCTATAATCTGCGAGGCGGGACCAGCGAGCGCACCACTTGGGCCAATCTCGATCAAGAAGTTGGGCGCCTCCGATGCTGAGAGCATCGCCTGGAGAGCTTCGTCAAATCGTACAGCAGAGGTCATGTTGTCTTTCCAGTAGCGCGCATCGGCAGTGTCCCCCATGATGGCTCCCGTAACGGAGGAGAACATGACCGCAGGCTTGCTCTTTGACTCAAGGGGCTTGAAGTTCTTTTTCAGGAGCTCTTCGTAACTTGCTCCGATTTCAGTCATGAATTTTGAGTGATAAGCCAAATCAACCTGCAGCAGTCTCGCAAAATGGCCATCCTCTGCAATTCGCTCCCTGACTGTTTCCAAGGCAGGAACTGCGCCTGACAACGTAACACTCTTGGGGCTGTTATAGCAAGCAATTTGTACTTTGTCTTGGAGCCCTTCCAGGTAGGGGGTGGCGTCAACTGCTCCCAATCCAACCGCCATCATACCAACACCAGTGCTTCCTGCTGACTTGGAATGTTTCGCTGAATATCCACGGTAGTAAGCAACTTTGATGGCTTCTTCTTTGGTAAGATAACCCGCAGCGTAAGCGGCAGCAATCTCTCCGGAAGAGTGCCCAACAACAGCAGTAGCGTCGATGTCCCAGCCCTTCAGAACCTCGAGGATTACAATCTGTAGGGCTGTTACCAGGGGCTGTGAGAATTCTGGTTGCCGCAAATGTTCTGCTGAACGATTCTCAACTAGCTCATCTATGGTATACTCAGTCAGCTTCCTATCTCAAAGATGTTGATTTCCAGGAGAGGATAAAATAACATACTTAGCAACGACCAGGATGGAGGAGTGGGAAGTTGTTGGAGGGCGGCGTCCAGCTGAGACAGGATTTCCCGGGAGATTGGAAATGTTTCGACGAGCTCTTTTCCCATCTGTGGCCACTGAGCACCTTGACCAGTGAAAATGAATCCAATCCTAGGAGCATCGCTGGAAAGCTTGCCATAAGTGAAAGCATTCGGCTCGATGCTATCCTTGCTTCGAACTACCGCATAAGCGCGGTGGAAATGCCGGCTTCTTCTTTCAGACAACGTATAGGCAAGGTTGTGGAGGTCCACCTTGACTTCCAAATTGCTGAGATGCTGGTCCAGGGCGTCGACATATCCTCGGAGAGACTGCTCACTGTTCGCCGAAAGAACAATGACGTGAGGTTTGTATTCCTCCTCTGCTTCCAGGAGATCCTCTTCATCGCCTGTCACAAACGATGAGACATGCGAGGGTTTGACATCATCCAAGGCCGCCAAATCGTCAAGGATAATATGTGAGTTTGTTCCACCGTAGCCAAATGAGTTGATACTGGCTCGCCGAAATGCGGCCTCTGGCCATGGAATAGCGCTACGCGTTGCGCGGACCCTGAGTCCTCGGAAATCAACTACACAGCAGTTAGTATCATCTACACCGCAGCAAGAATTCATCCCTTACTGTTGGGGTTAGGAGTCTCAAACGTTGGATTTCCTGGAATGATGCCATGTTCTAGGGCCAGAACTACTTTAAGCACTGCACTCAAGCCAGCCGATGGCTCGGAGTGTCCTAGATTGCTTTTTATCTACAAATCGCACAAAATGTCAGCATTGCAACCCCTAATCATAACAGGTTATGTGATGTGGAGAAATGGACTCACCGATCCGATCACCAGTGGCGCATCCTCGCTCTTAAATCCAGAGAAGACAGAGGAAACACCCTTGACTTCTAGAGGATCTCCAGCCTGATATGAATATTAGCACGCCATTTTGACCAGAAACAATAATGGTCACTAACCTGTGTACCGGTACCGTGGCACTCCAAATAGGTGGTGAGTCCAAGGTCCTTGATGCCTGCATTGGCATAAGCAGTCCTGACAGCTGCGGCCTGGGCTACGGGATTAGGACTGGCAATGCCAGGGGTGCGGCCATCACTGTTCGTTGTTGAGCCACGAATAATGGCACGTATAGGATCCCCATCTCTAATAGCGTCATCCAGGCGTTTGAGAATGACGGAACTGACGGCCTCTGCCTTGACGTATCCATCAGCCTTAATGTCAAACGTGTGACAATATCCAGTAGGACTATGCGCCATTCGGATAGGACCTGTATCCATGACATGTTCGGGACTATTAAAGCGTCATTAGATCGATCCGTTTATTAGTTGGAATGAAATACTCACCTGAGATATAAGTTGCTAGTCGCAACAATGGCGCAGTTGGTCTCCCCTGATTGAAGATAGCGGCATGCAAGATCAACACCAACTAGACTACCAGAACATGCTGTGTCGACTGTCACGCTAGGAACGGTGAGCTAACAAGTCATAATTATGGGCTTCCTTTTTTATATATATTTACCTTGGGCCCTTGATGTTGAGGGCGTGGCTGATTCTGTTTGCCAAGATGGCACGGCCAATACCGATTTCTATCGACGGAGGTCGATCCTCAGGATCTCGATTCATCATGTCGTGGTAGTCTTTGCCATGTCAGTTACGGACGGGTTTTGATCAAACGATTATGATAACCTACTGGAGGCAAAGGAGCCGATAAAACATCCAACCGGGGCATCAGAGACCTGCTCCAACGTAATCCCCGCGTTTTCCATGGCTTCATATACGACTTCAAGCATTTGTCTTTGATTTGGGTCCATGGAAATGGCCTCTGCTGTTGAGATACCAAAAAAGGATGCATCGAAATCTGCCAAGTCGATGTTCTCAAGAAACATGCCACCCGGTGGACGCATAGTCCCGGGCTTCTTTGAGCCGTCATAGTGACCTTTGATGTTGAAGCGATTTTCCGGGACCTTGTTGCTAGCAATGCCTCCTCGCTTGAGAAACTCCCATAATTTTGTCGGGGATGTGTTTTCTCCCGGTAGACGACATGCCATGCCTACAATGGCAATTGGGTCTTGGACATTTGGTTCCCTCGCAGACTTCGGCTCTGCTGACCTTTGAGATGCCATGATACCACTGTCGTTGATAGCCATTGTGCGTGTAAGTCGATGAGAGTTGAAGAGATATGACGCTGGCAGTACAAATCGATCGACACACTGGCGACGACTTTTATCTTCTATATCACGCCTCTTTACAGCTTTACACCTTCATCTGAGATGCAGTCCAAATTGCCTCTTTGTGGATTGTTATGCACCGTGACTAATCTTTTCAACCTTGAGCCATTATCTACACGTGTGCTTATTCTAAATCTGCACCTATGAAGCATGACAGTTAGCGGTCAGCATGCTGGCTGTGTTGGCTGTAAGACTGTAACATGGGACATGCCATTACGTGGTAGTCGACCAGGCTGCTGGCGAGTCAATTAGATGCGCATAATAAGAATTACATGAGGTACCAAAAAGGGAATAAAGACATGTAGCGTAACTCTGTAGTATTCACGGTGTACGAATAATTCGAGATATCATATACAATGTGGATAACCATTATCTTGCCATATTCCCACTAGCGTCTTGTAATACATCCAGCCGTCTCATCTTGGGCGTCCACGATCACCTTGCAACCAACAAGCATGTGCTTGATCCACATTTGCCGCATGCCGCACGCCGCACGCCGCGATTCTTTTGGTTTATCAGTGCGTAATACTAAGTAAGATTGCTGTCCAGCTAATACGCCTGTGCCCTATACGAGATAGGTCGTTTGAGTTAATATCGCTGCCCTTGTCGAATGCTACCTCGCTATCTGTCAACTACCAGATGCATTCATGCCTCGGACCTGGTCTCATACACGATGACATGCGGGCCTCAAGGATTCTTCTAGTAATATCTTACCGTGCAGCGCTGCAGGTTGTCTCCACATGATTAGAGCCGGCAGGGAAGCCGGAAAACTGACCGACATATGTAGAATCTTACCGAAAGGGTCGCCGTTGAAAAATTACATACGATAACAGATAGAGTGTAGTTGGTGTTGATTCACCACTTGCCTTGATAGCATATCAGTCTGGACTTCCTCTCTTTAACGCTGGTCAAGGAACCCAAGTTCTTTCCCATTCTCATCTCTACACTTCGCCTACTCATACTTGTTAGCTCTCGTCCAGTCCAGTTTTTGTCAAAATGCATTTCACTACGCCCCCTAAGTCTGAGCCTGTTGAATTCACAACGCTGGATGGACTGACTCTCCGTGGTCAGCTATATGCCGCATCCTCGCGAGGTCCTGCGGTTATTATGACTCCAGGCGTATGTCGTTGGACCATGTTCACCTTTACTGTTCTAAATACAACTTGCTAACTTGACAAACTACCCAGTGGAATTGTGTCAAGGAAATGTTGCTGCCAGAGGTGGCCGAGAGATTCCAAGCTGCCGGCTTCACAGCCCTTACTTATGATCCACGCAATCTCGGCGAGAGTGACGGGATGCCACGTAATGAGATTGACCCTGCGAAGCAAGTCGAAGACTACTCAGATGCCCTCACATATCTTTCAAGGCATCCAATGGTTGATCCATCCAAAATTGCATTTTGGGGCATGTCATTTTCTGGATCTATCGCTGCTTGTGCTGCGGCACTGGATAAGCGAGCCAAGGTCCTCATCTCTATATGCCCCATGACTGTTTTCTTCACCGACGAGAAGCGACAGAAGATCCTTAGCAAGGCAATTATGGATCGTGTCTCTCAGTTGAAGGGCAACCGCCCCTTCATGCTGGTGCCCTTCACCAAAACTGGCGAAAACCCAGGTGGTCTTGCCCAAGGAGGAGGGAGAGAGGCTTATGAATTTATGAGCACTGTCAAGGATCACGGCGCTCCCAACTATGAAAACCACACAACTATTCAATCTTACTACCGAATGATGATGTGGCAGCCATGGCCGCTCTTTGAGCATGTTGATCCCACTCCCGCCATGGTCCTGATCCCTGATGGGGACCAGATTGCAAAGCCGGAAGATCAACGGCGCATGTTCGATGCTCTCTCTGGGCCAAAGAAGCTTGTTTTTGCTCGAGGGAAGGGCCATTTGAATGTTCTGAGCGGAGAAGACGCAGAGATGCTCATTCAAGAGCAGGTAGAGTTTATGAGGGACGCGTTTGAGGGAAAGCCGATTTCATAAAAGGCTCCGGAAACGAATCATTCTTGTTGTACGAGTTAGCGAGCGGTTGGTTTTGTATTTTGATTTTTGCATTTAGATTTTTGAGCAGAGTGATCAAGCTCCTGGATAGACGATAACTTAATATTAGAATTGACCAATTTGAAAGAACACGAGTTTGAAGTTCCTAACAGTTTATTGATTCGAAAGATCCTTTGGTTCGTGCGGATGAAATCACAACTTGATTCAGACCCACCTTAATGATCTGTCGTGTTGTTTTGATATTCAGGGGTAACCCAGGAGGTGCAGAATTTTCGAGTGTGCAGTTTACATGGACAGCTTCATCTGCGCTATTACCCTGTAATAGAATATACAACTCAGAAGCATCATCAAATTTATAACGGCCAACGGCCATAAAAGCCTCAAGCATCACCGGGTTCCGTATATGTTGTAAAAGCCTTGCTCATTATGAACGGCAAAGTTGGTCAATTCTTTACGTGGAGTAATGGTATAACTACTTCTTAATTAAAAAAAAGAAAAGAAAAGAAAAGAAAAACTGCCGATGATAAAGACGACTTGTCTGTATGTTACTATTGCAAGGGAAATCGTCTCTCACTGCCAATGATGGCCGTGTCAGCTTCGGGGAAAAATTACCAAATGAGCACCGGTCCATCCGGCTTAGACTCGCATAATCCGTTATGGATCCAAAGACTCGGCGGGTCACTTTGAATGCGACAGTACAAGGTCCCTAGTAGAGAAGCCCGAAGCAGACAACAATTACAATGCACTTCCTGCATGTACAGAATCCCAGTGACTCGCAACACATTCGTCCTAAAAGATGGCTGTAGGGGTCTCAAGGCACCCTCCAACCGGAAATCACGCATCACCGTCACATGAACACAGCCTACGAAAGACACACCGTCACTTTTGTGTGTATGCTACCCACTGTTTTGTGTCTATCATTTCTGAATTCCATCTTTTCCCACTCCCCCATAGCTACTGTACAGTACGCACCAGATCTTATGGCAACCAGGGGTGAGGCGTCGCCAAGCTTTCTCATATTTACTCATAGTGTAATGGTAACAACATCCTTGACAGCGATCTCAACCTAGAAACCACTCCAATTACCGCTCATGAACCCTTGTATTGTTCTCTCCTTGATTCCCTTTGAAACAAGATTTGTTATACTAGTTGGAGCATCCCTTGAACGTTACCACATGTCTGCTTTGGCATCTACTCAAACGCCGAAGATTATTGCCGGCTTACATGCATTTACTTGTACAGGGCTAGACATCCCCTGTTGTAGGAGTTCACCACATGCACCTTGATTGATTGAAAATAGCGCTGTCTGCAACCGCTGGAACCTTGTGAGATAAGGCTAGCTGGGTGCTAGCCTCAAGGGGTCAAGGATTGAAGCTAATGTCGCGCTATGTACAGCAAAGGATTCAAGTTTGGTGGCAACACAAAGCCAAGGCTTCGGGACCTCATTGCAACGGTAAGCTCACAGCTCAGGAGGATCAACAAAGGTGCATGTTGCTGCCTGTCGGGCGGAAACCATTCGTATTACCTCTCATTTAAAGGGAGGGAGGATCAGGAGCCGTAGTCGAAGCGCTGTTGCTGCAGGTGTCCTCGTATCGCAGTAGGAATGGTCGTGTATCACTTGGTACTTGAGACAAATCCTGCCGTTTCGCAATTGAGACTATGATGGCGAGATTACTCGTACATCCTGCCTCCCGAGCTAATAAACGGAAATCTGCTGCGGAGGAGGCTCTACCCATGCAGAGTACGGAGGAAGACCGCGCCATCCTCTCAAAGCTCTTGACTACAAGTATATGGGACGGGATTTTACCGCAGGGGAGACAAACAGCCCATGGAGTCCACCCTGGTATTCTCCGACCGTTACACGCCCCGACTGCCGCTTAGTACATTCAAGCGCATTTACCAAAGCCGATTGAATTTAGCCGGAGACATGGGTGGCCATGCATGCTGAGGCTATATAGGTAGGCACCTTTACTAATCTACTCCCTAGTAGGTAGTACTCGTATGAGACATACATGTACATATCATTAGCCTTGTGTGTTGAATGCAACGTCTCAAATACTACAGACAGCATGTACATAATGTACCATGCATGCTACCACGAACGTACCTGAACATGGGAATGCTGTCGTTTCTTGGCCATTACGATAGCTTTCCGATGAACAACCGTGAGTTGACGGATTAGAAGTATGGATAGGCTATCTATTGGGTATTGCAGGGGAGATGTGCGACAAAATCATGAGGAATAACTCGAACGGATGATGACATAACGATTCGGTTCACGCTCTTGATCCAAATCTGTGATGTGCTCTAAATGTAAGCAGGTTGAAAGGTTCATCTCGCCCTGCGCAGCACTCAGCTAAGGTATTGACACGAATTTCAGGTGTACTGTGTTCCCTGCAAGGATCGAGCGTAAGCAACAGTCAACAGCGCTAACACGGGCGCGCGGGAGACGGACGGCACGATCGCCGCGGAACGATTGCGATGTGTTCTTATGTCCTCCGATAACTCCATAGCGCCGATTGGGACAAATCTAACCATTACCATTAGGGGACTAAAGTCGACGGGAGGGCGTTTTAGAGCATGATGCGTGCTGACTGTCTTGACTGCTATTCAAGCCACAGCTAGGCGATAGGCAATGCTTCATGACGTGACCATGGAAGCACCGTGGAAGTTTTATGGGGTTCTTGGACCTTGATATGACGGATTATTGTTGCAGAGAAAAACTACACCGTAGCCGCATCAGGGTTAAACAAGATCTGACATTCGTGCTGAGTTCCGCCGAGATTAGCAGCGATTTATCGTCAGGAACAATGCTTAGTGTCAGCTGCAAGGCTTACCGTGCATAGAAGAGGAAAGTACCTAATCAACGCCTGAAGTGTGTTGGCAAGACCATGAGGACACAGTACCTAGCCAAACATGACAGACGGTTGTTGCCAATATTGAGCGGAGAGTCGGTGTTAATCCTGCCTGCTATGTCTGCTTATTCCAAATCGCTGAATCTAGAGACCGGGGCTGAGAATCCTGGAATGGTGGGATTACTCGTACTATGCCCATGCAGCCCGGCCAAAACGGGAATACCCCCTCAGCTACATGAAGTTCTTGTCGGCTGTAGCGCTCTTGCGGAGCCCATAAAAAGGATTAGGGGGCAAAGCTCGGTTCTGAATTTGATATCTCAAGTTTCCCTGCCTACCTTCCGTTTAGCCAGTCATTATGTGGCCGGAACTTCGTTCCCGACTAGAGTCGGGGCCCCTTCCCGGCGGGCTTATTCTTATTATTCTGGTGTTGAGTTATACCGTTTACCTAATCGGCCTGGGCATCTACAGAGGTGAAACCTTCTCGTATAGGAAGTTCGCGGTGGTTGATATTGACATAGATTTCTAGTGTATTTCAGCCCTCTTGCCAAGTTCCCTGGTCCACGTCTTGCTGCACTCACATCGTGGTACCAGGCGTACTATGACATTTGGCTTGGAGGCCAATTCTTCAAGAAATGCGACGAGTTGCAAAAGATATATGGTAAGCAAGGCCGAAAAAGTTCTTCCAGACCGAGCTCACAGTTTTCCCTAGGACCCATTATTCGCGTCAATCCTCACGAGGTGCAGGTTTTTGACCCCGAATTTATTGATACCCTTTATACAAGCAACTCGCAGCGTCGGGATAAATACAAATGGACTGGCCGCTCGATTTTGTGTAAGACTCACGTGGCAACGCCAGTTTCGTATTCAGTAAAATAACCCCCCTCGCCTTACTCACAGTACCTGAATCGTTGGTTGCGACGGAACCTCATGATTTGCACCGCAAGCGTCGTGCGGCCTTGAGCCCGTTTTTTTCCAAGGCAAGCATTCGGCGTCTAGAAGAGCCCATTCAAGAAACGCTGGCTGCCATTTTGGCTCGTATGAAAACGGCTAGCAAATCAGTAGAGGTGATGCCGATGAGCCTCATTTACAAGGCGGCCACGAGTGATATCATCACTAAATACGCATTTGGAAACTCTACCGATTATGTCAATCGCAAAGACTACAACGTTGGCTTTTTCGAAGCTGTCGACGCCAACTTTGGCATGGCATGGCCGATGACTCACATCCCGTGGCTAGGGCCGTTGATGAACTCAATCCCTCCGTCCGTCATGGGAATTGTGTATCCTGGCCTCAAATCCCTATGGCAAATGCATCACGTGAGTAGCTACGATTCATCATGCGTTGTGGGCGTCAACTAACTTGGTGTGTGCAGCAATGGACAAAGCAGATTAAGGAAATTGACGCCACCAAGAGCAATAATGATGGACCGCATTCCACAATTTTTCATGGCATACTAAGCAGCAGTCTACCACCGTCGGAAAAGGAACCGGCGAGGTTGCGACAAGAGGCGCAGTTGGTGATCCTTGCTGGCCAAGATACTACAGGTAAGTGATCGGTCAATTATCCAGGGATATAAAAGACAGAGCCGACTAATTCACACCGGGAAAAAAATGACAGCTTACACGCTGGCCGCGACTACCTATGAGCTACTAGCTAACCCCGACAAGCTTGCTAAGCTCAAGGAAGAGCTTGTAGCCGCCCTTCCGGACCCCGACACTGTGCCTACCCTCGCTGTTGTTGAGAAATTACCTTATCTGAATGCCGTGATTCAAGAAGGACTTCGTATGCACCCTGGAGCTCTGGTTCGTATGACCCGCGTTGCTCCTGACAACGAGCTGGTCTATAACGACAAGACATCCGGCCAAAAATGGGTTATCCCCAAAAACACCCCGATCACTATGACTGCCCTTCCAATCCAGATGAACGAGAAGATCTTCCCAGATCCCACCAAGTTTGAGCCTGAGCGCTGGCTAGAGAACCCCCGGTTGGACCGTTACTTGCTTACATTCTCGAAAGGCTCACGAATCTGTCTCGGGTCAGTCTTCTCCAGTCGCTGCATTAGGCAGCTCGACTTTAAAATGGAGTAACACTGCAGGCTAACCAACGTGCTAGGTTCCACTTGGCATACTCGGAGCTCTACATCATACTGGCGGGCCTTTTCCGCAAGTATGACCTGTATGACGGGACTGGCCGCCAGAAGACCCCCACGATAGACCTATACGACACCGTGCGCGAGCGAGATATAGATGCCGTGATCGATCTGATTGTACCTTACCCAGCCAAAGGTAGTAAGGGCTTGAGAGTGGTTGTTCGTGAATAGATACGGAAGTCAAAGCTCGCGGATTGAACTCTAGAGGCCAGTTGTCCAAGTACTTCAGATAGCATACAATGTGACCGTCAGGTTGGAAGTTCATACAACATCAAATACACATCGAGTTACCTCACCAACCAATCCCAAGAATTTATAATTACTGCCTATGTGCATACGGCGCGTCGCTGTAGCTAGAGCATTTTACTGTTTTCTTTTCCGCAAAAAGAAACCCTGGATTAAAAAAAAACAAAAGGAGGGAGGGGTGCGGAGGATGTTAGATGTGGGACTATCCGATGGCACGTCAAGATCGCCAACGTTTAATTTGTCAACTCGCCAGGTATTACTATCATCCCGTAGATATCCGAGCACATGCCTTGTGGGAACACCAGGATACCGTATATGTATGTATAACCTCGCAAAACTCATTTGTGGGTCTCTCCATAGTTATACCCTGTTTTAATCGAGAGAAGCAATGGGCTTACTTCCTCACGTTGGCATGTTATACTGAATGTTGCAAGGTTACATGGTACATGTACACCCCGCAAGCATCTATTTTGTTAGCTTGGTACTGATCGTCATCAACTTGCTGATGGCATCAAGAAAAGTACCAAGCTAAACAAAGTAGATGCTTGTAGGGTGTAGTGTAACACACTGACGAGTGGGGGTATGCACGTCTTCGCGCAAATCTCAATGCAAACATGGGCATCTTTACTCCGTCTTACCCTGAAGCCATTACGATCTGTCCGATAAGCAGGGGATATACATGTAGTGACCTCTCAGGGTATGGCCGGACTAACCATAGGTACCGAATTACCTCGGAAGATTCGCCTGTGGATCTCTCCAGTATTAAACCTAGTTTTCGCCTAGAGAAGCAAGAGGCTAGCTTCCTTACGTTAGCAACTGCTTCATGAGGAACGATCCATAGGCGAATTTTGCGAGGTAATACGGTAGTATGGACTTTTTTTTTTTAGAGAAATTTTTTCTGTAGTATTAGTCTTTTTGTTCACTCTGTTAGCTAGCCTAACACGCCCCTTGCTACACCCAGCAGCCTGATCTATTAGAGAGGTTCCGGGCGCCAAGTAATACAACAACAACAACAACAACAACAACAACAACAACAATAACAACAACAACAATAATAATAACAACAACAACAACAAGCAGGGGACGGATATGAACGGAAGTCGCACCAAGGGCCCCTGCTAATACAGCTCGTGAATCAGCGGGATGCTACTATCAGAGAACACATGAATCATTACATGTGCCCTGCGCCCTTTCGCCATAGTTGCAGGATTACCGCAATGAACTTGATGACATAACCGGAGTCGCTAGACTGGTCTTGGCAGGGAGTCAGTTTATCCTGGTAAGTATTATCGTGTTCGCTTGAGGATTTAGCCAGTGGGTAACCTCGACGGAAAATTGGCAGAGTTCTTTACATTATGCAAGTTGGATATATCACATATCAATTTTTCAATATAAAAATTGCCATTGAAATTTTACAAAAAAATATTACTATAAATTTTTTTTAAATATAAAAAGAAATTACCCCCATGGCGCAGTGAGTGGTATAAACCCGGATATTATAAGGCAGTTACTTGTAGTTTGAATCTAGTTGTGGGACCCTATACTAAACTATAGAAGCACGGCTTTTCACACCACCCAGCAATTTTTCAAGACATTATACGCTCGGAGTGATTTGCAAATCCATCAGGCTGAGATCCGAGCAAAAGTGAAGTTCCACACTCGCTCAAGAATTATATAGCCTTATACTCGTATTTATCTGACAAAATCTCACCCGCTGCGGAGCGTGTACATGTCAACGATGTATGTAGGTATTCCAACATACCCCGGGCCGCTCACTGTAACAAGACCCCTGCCTTATCCTTGTCAGCGGTACGCCTCGAACGGGCATGTCAGACATTGCCCAATGCTGCCTGTAGCAGCACCCGAGGCACCTGTGGCCTATGCAAGTCCAGTCCACTACATACATGAGGCTGCTGTGTTTGGCTGGTATTTGATACCTATCACATCCCGCCCGATGTACCGACGACGGGGCCCAGCACGGCACCGTACTACGTGTTCTATATCGACCAGAAGCGCCGGCATTTCAACGACGAGTCTTACGCAGTGCAGCAGTGCCCCGTAGACGTTTTCTACAGAGTTTACAAGGGGCATAGGTGACATCAAGATTCCAGTCTCCACGCCTACCTGCATATCTCTAGGGTGGATACTTGTATGCGGCTTAACGTTCATACATGTACCTAGGTAGGTAGTACGTAAGTACTTAGGTACTTACTTACACTGCCCTAATGGCAATGCCATCGAGATACTATAAGATTTCACGGGTCGTTTATTACATATAGCATTCAACCCAAGGTTTCAGACTCTTTGTATAATGAAAGACTATAGACCGAGCAATAAGATTGACGTAACAATGGCTATGCCAGACGGTCCGCTGGAGCGCCGCCGTATTCAGAACCGTATGGCGCAGCGTCGGTTCCGGTTCCGCCAGAGTACGTGCAACTGTCCTAACCATAACCAAGCACTCTCAATGCATTGACGACGTCTCACAACTCGGCGTAAACTACAGGAAATCAAGAGCAACGGAACACTATTGAGTTGGGCGGACAAGTGCAAAATACCACAACGTCGTTGTGTCATGAAGCTGCAAACCTAGATGATTGGCTTGATAACTTTTCGCTACCCACAAACGATGGCTCATCAATGTCGGTTGACTTCTCGGCCTCTTTGACTTGCGCAGGAGGTCTGAGCGAAAGCTTTTCTTTGATAGAGGGCCATCACGGACACGGATATTTTACAGGAGTGGATGCCAACGGCAATTGTATCCCATACGCCATCTCAGAGCCAGTCCACAGCACGGTATCAACGTCTCCGAGCAATTCGACAACTCTTGATGTCCTTGGGTCAGGCAGGATGCAACATCGCAACACATCACCAGCCCAATCGGAAAACCTACATTATGTTCCCAAGGAGAAAAACTCAGAATCCGCAACCACAGCTACCACCGATCTGATCAGGACATCCAATTTCAGCTCACCAGATCGATCTATTGCAGGAGCGCCCGTCGAACAAGCCAGCGCAGGAACGAGTCCAGGGACAGGTGATGAAAGTGATATCAACAATCCCGGGTGGCTCAGCGCATTGCACATAGCAGCGAAGCGGGGCCACGGTGGAATCGTCCGACTCCGTAAGTGGCACCCTGAATATGAAAGCAACCCTATGAGTTGGCGTTTTTTTCATTCATTGTCACGTCTTTTACATAACCAACGTTTACGAAGGGGGGGGGGGGGGCTATAAGCTGATAATTGCTGACCGTGACTATTCTAGTGCTACAAAACTGCATGGATACCAACGAGAGAGATAGCGACGGCTTGACACCGCTGATGTATGCCGTCGCTGGTGGTCACGAAGAGGTAGTCAAATCGTTACTAGCCCACGGTGCCCGCCTTGGAGATGTCGATGGCCGTCGCCGCTCGGTATTGCACTGGGCCGTGCTGACGTGCCGCGAAAACTTGCTCCGTCTGTTGCTAAAGCATGCGGCTACCGACGATCCTCTCCTTATCGACGGCTATGATGAGACAGGCCGCACGCCCTTGCATACTGCAATAGCCTCTGGTTTCGAGGCTGGAGTCAGCATACTAGTGGAGTTTGGTGTCAACTTATATTCAAAAGCCAGGAAACCCTAGGGAGACCTCCTGAATACTTTATACAGCACCAAGCGGTCCAACAGTCCAGGGAAATTCATTGAATACAGTTATAGCTATTCAAAATATAGAGCGCAAGCGAGATCTCTTGATGCCCCTTCGTCTGTGGCCGACCAACTCGGAGTATGGAACAACACAAAGATGATGGGAGTTGAAGATTGTGTGGAGCGCACCTAATTCGGCATAACCGAATTCGGAACCAACGGGGCTGCATCGAAACGAATCTCGCATCTTTTGCTTCTTGAGGTCCCCTGCTGCATCCACGTCTCTGGCGAGAATCTCACCAGTCTCACTAAGCTCGCGTATGAACGGGCCGCTGTCGAATCCCGGGATAGCGGGTGTCGATCCAGGACCCTGGAGATGTGTCTCTAGAGAGAATTAGGTATGCATGGAGCGCCAGAAGCCGGGAGCTTAAACAAGACGGCTGTGAGGTTACATGACCCTCCGAGTACCAGATAGGTACCCATACCTTCTATAGCATTTAGAGAGATAACAAGATTCTTCCTACATCCTCCGCAGCCCGCGGACTTGGCCCACGCAGAGGACAACACCGGACATTCGGAAGAAGCTCATTCTCCGACGTCCCCGGGGCCTGCCGGCGTCTCGTCGAGACCTTCCGCGCCCCCAACGCCACCCGCAGTCCTACTTGCAGATATAGACATCTCTAAGCTCGTCCTGAAGATCATGAGACTACATGTAGCTATTGCTGATAACCCTAAACCGCCCCTTCTTACGTTGGTGATTGGTCCTATGCCTACGTGACCTACGTGATGTTCTAGCTCGTCGCCCGACTTCCGCCGTACGCGACCTGATAACGGCTGTCTGTCGTGTAACTTGCTTTCAACTATGATAACGGCAATAGGCCTCCGAGCCATGTCCAGACACAGGCAGCCCGGGCACTCACCAATTACGTGTACCTACGTACAAGTAGGCAGTTATTTGGCTTGTTCGGCATTTACCCGGGTACCTAGGTACGAGCTCCCAAACATGCATGTATCTACATGCCCGAGCGGATTCCCTGAGACAATACAAGCGCATACGCTCTACCTGGACTCTTTCATCTAATCTATTTTACTAAAATATTATATAAAACTTATATAGATTAGGAAACGAACAGGATTTATAATACTTCAACTATTGTATTATGTGTAGTGAATTTTTCTTTTCTCTTATATGAGGTAAGAGGCTTTATAACTGTTGCAATGGAAGGTTACACTTATAGCAGATATTAATTACCTATGTAAGTATAGCTCTTTTTCGGACCTAGCCCAGGCACATACGAGTACGTACATCAGGTATACATGTAGGTTGTCATACACTTCTTAGTGGCGCAACTGGGGACCCTGACGATCCTTACAGTGGGTATATGCACGATTATCATGGAGCTGCTGCATGCTTACTTTCTTCCAATAAGAGCTTGATATATCTGCTGCCTGTCATGTCCATGAGATTACGAATTGTATCAGCCTGACCTCCCCTTGGTTTGGGGGTTTCTCTTGGGTTCAGGTTCTGGGGACGTGCATGGACACAGGTGGCAAAATTGCGGCTGCGTATATCTTGATGCATATGCGTATTGCCGTATTACATTCTAGAACAGTCGCCCATTTATCGCCAGAGTTCCAATCTTACATACCCGGTACCTACCTAGTCGGGAGCGGAATGGATTGGATCCTAATAAATGCTACCTAGCTCCACGAAGCTAAATGGCGCTGTTGACTACATCCGGCAAACTTCCTGGTGAGTACATTACTTTACACCAAGGTAGTACTCCCTACTCAAGGCGATGAAGACTTATACCAGTAAGTTCCAGCTTCTCTTATGTCACGACTAGGAAGCAAAAGACCCCTGCACAGTGGGGGTTGTTCATGTATTCCTTCTATATACTAGATACCGCCCTAATAACGGAAGGTTCGGGTTATAGCCACAGCCACACTGCTATATGTAGAGATTGAGGCCGCGCTGTAGGGATTATTGCTTACCTAGTACATGTAGCTTGCCACAATTAGTGTCATCCGCTCGTGACAGTTTGGTTCCTTCTTAAGTGACCCATAGCCTGATTTTGGCAACTGTAAACCCTTGTAGGAACTTAGCAGCGTAAGCCGTACCTAGGTAGTTATAAGTTGTAAAGTCGTAGGTTTGAGGTTTGAGTCTCATTCTTTATGGTCAAATAATATGAACTGGCAGTTACTTACCTGCTTAATTTGTTGCTCTTTTTATATTGCCTCGGTGTATAAAGTTCGTTTTGGCTAGTAATGCTGATAAACCCCACCTGTAAACCTCCAAACCCCCTCAGGTTCAAAGGTACATATATCTATACCTTATCACCCCGGTGCTCTACTGTACCCCCTTGTAAGCGCCAGGGCGTGGGTGCTTTGGGACGAATGTCTCGGAACCCCGTGTGTACATGTATGACCCCATAAACCCCAGAGGCCTGTACCTGACCCACCGCGCTAATGCTGGTTGCAAATCTCAGTAGTACAGTAGATCAATAAATGCCCTCACGTTGATCAAGGCCCCTTTTGGTATACCCACGCGTGTATGCAAAGATGACGAAGGGCGCCTCTTCCCTGGAAGAAGCCTGGGGATATCAAAATCACAGACATATTGTATAGGTGTACGCGTACAGTAGCGGCAGGCCGGCATTGTTTTCTCAGCACGCCATACAGGGGCCATGGCGTCTCAACATTGGAAATTGCTCATACTCCGCGGAACTGGGATCTTTGCGACGGTGTTGACCCGGTTAGGCGCAAAAGCGGAGATAAGGCTTACTGCAACTCTTCCCTCTGATCTTTGCCCGGGTTACCAAATCTGGATGTAATGCGTGGCAGGCACTTATCCAGCCACTGTGATCACTACGATAGAGCCACAGTTTCTGACCGTATTAAGTAAAGCTAGATTACTACACTTTTGCTATACATATATTTATATAATGAATATTATATAAATCCAAGTAACCTGAAAGTAGTTCAATTACCTACTGAAAAAGCTGTATACTGGCTGTTAATGTATACTAAAGCTGCACTACCTGATTACACCTGTGTGCGCTGAATTATTGATTAGATTGTGTGCTGGAGTAATTGTAATTCGGGGCTATATGCGCTAAAATAACAAAGTTATATAGGCTAAAGAAAGCTATTTACGCTAAGCTGCCTAGATTTATGCGCTAAATTTTAGTACCTTTGCGCGCGGAAGCTGCCGCTAAAGCTAGCTGTATATTTTAAAGCAAGCTATATACGCTAAAGCTACATACATATACTAAACGCACTGTTGGTAATATTTTTTTTTAGTATTATAAAAAAAAACTTTTAACTTTATATAAATTTCTATAAGTATTAGTATATCTTTTTATTTTTAAATACATTGCTAGCGTAATACAGTTTACAATTCCCAAGGCCTTACTGAAAAGGACTAGCGGCGCAGTGACTCTATCGCAGTTGTCACAGTGGCTGGCAAGGGGCGGAAAGAACATGGAATACAGCGCCGCCGATCACGTACAAAGTATTGATCCATGCCTGTAGTAGACGGGCGGTGTTTTCTTTCCACCGCATGGCTGGATAGGTGGCCGGCAATTAATGGAGTGTACGAGTATGCACCAGTGGACGCGCGTTAGCTTCGCAGGATTACCGCAGGATCCCAAACGACGGTGAGTATGCGAACTACTGTATAACCTCGCAGAACTCGTCTGTGGGCCGTTCTAAACATGATGTTATGCTAACCTGAGGAAGTAAGCCTATTACTTCTCTCGATTAAAACAGAGTATAACTATTGGGAGACCCACTACCAAATATTGCGAGGTTATACGGTACATGGACTCGTATGTACATATGTAGACCCCTCGCAACAGTGACCACCACCATCCCCACGCCTCCCCCCCCCTGGTTATCCAACCTTCACACGTCTTACAAGTAATACTTGTAGATTATATGCCTTGGCTGGATATCAGCTCGGGCTAGCCGTTTCGCCGTTGAGCTGAGAGAAGTCATGGAATAATTGCTGGTTGCTGACACAAGAATCTCCTGATGACCGGAAAAGGATTTCCTTGGGCTGGATGAGACGATGTGATGCTCTAGATATTAAAGGGGTCAGGATAAGACAATGGAATGTCACGAGTATTAAGAGAGGCAGGTTGGCAGCCGATTTGTCTTCCGACGTCCACGTCAACTGCCTGAGTGTGCATCTTTGGGTTACAATGCATAGCAACACGTTTTTCAATTCCAAGGTCCTAGTGACCCTATTGGCCACTGCGCAGCTCTCCATAGCTGTCCCATCCAGATTGGAGAATCGACAGAAGTCTCCAACCTGTCGTTACCTTCCTGGTGATGCTGGATGGCCTAGCGCTCAGGCGTGGGACAAACTGAACAGCACCGTTGGGGGAAAATTGCTGCATGGCATCCCCTTCGGACATGTTTGCTACGGGTCTTCTCCCAACGCCGCGGCCTGTGCCCAGGCCAAAGCTGACTGGGAGGAGCTTGACCCTTTGTAAGTAAAAACCTTCACCAGAGAAGTTGACACAAGCGCTGATATTTTGGCGCAGCTTGGCGGACCCGGTCAACGTGATCTCGTCTTACTTCGAGAACACGACGTGCAGCCCCTTCTATGGCCCCCTTTCTACCAACTCAGAATTCAAAAGTCTCACTTGCTCCCAGGGGCCCATTGCCCCTTATGCAATTGATATCTCGGATGCGGCCTCTGCAGTGGCTGGTGTTAATTTTGCTCGTGAAAACAATATCCGACTCGTCATCAAAAACACTGGCCACGACATCTTGGGCCGCTCGCTTGGGCAGGGCGCTCTCTCTCTCTGGACACACAACCTAAAAGGTTTCCAATTCTTGACTTACAAGAGTCAGAATTACACTGGTCCTGCCGCCCGAATTGGAGCTGGAGTGCAAGTCTTGGAAATGTATGAGGCTGCAGCAGCACAGGGCTATCGTGTGCTAGGTGGAGGATGCCCAACAGTCGGTGCCGCCGGCGGTTGGATTCAATCTGGCGGTCACGGTCCATTGGGATCTACCTACGGATTGGGCGCCGACCATACGCTGGAATTTGAGGTGGTAACGGCTGATGGACGACACCTCAATGCTTCGCGCTCGGAGAACTCCGATCTGTTCTGGGCACTTAGCGGTGGCGGCCCTAGCAACTTTGCCCTTGTACTCTCGGCTACTGTGAAGGCGTTCCCGGATGGGCCTGTTGCAGGTTCGACCCTGACATTTACCGAAAGCGACTCTACCAAGTATTGGGCTGCAGTCGAGGCGTGGGAGAAGCATTTGCTGGTACTCGACACCATTGTGGGCTTCCAGACCAGCGTCACGCTATCTTCGGGTGTCTTCTCGCTAGATTATGCCACCCTCCCGGATGCAACGGCAGAAGATCTTACAAATGCCATGGAACCCTTCTTACAGGAACTCAAAACTCTGGGTATCACGCCAACTATCGATACCAAAGCGCACGACAATTTCAAGAGTCATTACGACTACTTTGATACTGCCTCTTACAGCCGTAACGTCACTGTGGGCAACAGAATCATTTCCCGAGATCGGGTACGCAATGATACGTGGCTTCCTGAACTGAGCTCGGTATACAAAGATATTTTGGCTACCCCAAACAGCGTTGTATTCATCATCGCCTATAACGTGACACACGCCCGCGCCGGTAATGCTCCCGGAAGCAATCCCGTAATTCAGGCTTGGCGAGATTCTCTCTTCATTGTCAACTTTGCTCTGCTCAACGACCCCGAAGCGTCGTATGCCGATTTGGCTGCAGATCTTGCTCTAGCCAACAAGTGGCAGGAGGATCTACGCAACATCACTCCTGGGGGTGGCTCATACATGAACGAGGCAACCTACAATTTTCCCTACTGGAAACAAGATTATTACGCCGAGACCTACAATGAGCTTGCTCAAATCAAGGCCAAATACGACCCCCATTACGTGTTCTGGTCCCAGCCTGCTGCTGGAAGTGATGGAATGGTGTTGCATGGTGATGGGCATCTCTGCAAAGCCTAAACTATAGGGCCCATCTCATGATAGTGAATTTATGTGGCCATGGTTCCAGACGATCTATTAATGGCTTTGATCATATTCTTTTAGTTTCTTTTCTTGATTTTTTACATCCCTTTACACTCTAGTATCATTTTAGACATGTTATAAATAGATATATATCATACCTGCTCTGCATCCCGACTCCTGAATTCGCCCAGATATACTCTCCAATTTGAATTTCACTTCGACGTAAAGTTTCTAAATTCAAAGCGGTAAGTTAAAGCTTCTGTGTCTAGCACTTGCCGTGGCCATATATCTTTCACAGTGAATTTAGTAAACTCAGACAAGTTACCTGTTGATTCTTTCTGTTATTGCAGCTGCTTAAAAAAATCAATATATTGTTTCTTAGGTCCATGAAGTTACGATAGCTGTTCTATCCATTGGACTTTTGATCACTCACACATCATAATCTGAACTCGACTCTTGTTAAGAAGGCACAATTTTTCTATCTGCCAAAAGTTCTCTTTTATTCTAGGGTCGGTATGACTAAAAGTCTTGGACTTCACCAGTGTACAACACAACCTTTCCGCCGTACTTCTCCTTTGTGGCGGTTGTGATCACTTTGAATAAACCACCTACAGACTCTTCAATAGTGGTGGGAGCTTCACCAATACCAAAAGTCTGCGCAGCCGCATTACCCATATCAGTCTGGACAAAACCGGGTTCCAGAACAAAGGCAGTAAGCCACTCATCCTCAGCATTAATTCTAACCCCATACCAGTTTACTATGGTCTTAGAAGGACCATAGGCAGCATTAGGAACAGGAGGTTGACGCCTGGTATATGATTAGTCTTCATTGCCGCTTTGTTTATTGGGGAGGGGAAGG